TACGTACCTTGAAATTACACTAACAATGCAATTTTGACTACATCTTAGCAAATTTACCTGTTTAATTACACTTTATTTTTAAAAAAATATCATGTCAAATTACTCAAACAATTAATAATATATCAAACCATTTCTATTCATAAATATTCTGTTCTCATCTTACACAGTTTCACTTTTTTTGTTATTGTTTTATTATTGTCAAAGAATGGCATCCCTGAATAAAAAAAGAACAAAATCGTAGTCAAGTTGAGGGACTAAATATCATATGAAAATGATCAATTTCTTGCAAGAAATTCAGACAAAATTGGGCAGAAACTTTATAAAGACATTTTAAAAAAGCCTTGTTAAAGAATAATTATTTGAAGATATTCTAGAAAACCCTGAAAAACTTATTTGTAATTTGTCAAGGATTAGCTTGAATCGAATTGAGACTGATGTAGTTTAACTAGGATCCTAATTTTATATTCTAAGAAAATACACTAACATAACTGATACAGAAACTGAGTTTGAAAATTTATATCAACATCCGCTACCATGTTTGTTTTTTCGTTACCCAATTTTATAAATGAAAAACGTTGTATGAAATCTTAAATATCCATTGGTAATAATTTTCGCTTTAACTTTATCAAACAAAATAAAACAATGTTCTTATTTACATGTTTTCAGATGTTTCTATTAAAATATCTATTTGTACTGGGGGAATAAATCATCTTTAAACACAAAGAAGTGTCTTATAGATTTTATGTAATATCTAGTTTTAATAACTATTATCTGAAATTAATTCAAATGACCATATAGGAAAAGCTAAGTTTACGTTGAATGTAAATTATTTATTTATTTGAACACATAAATATTTATACAAAGGAGCACCGAATACATATGCGCCATACAAATCACTTGATTTGTGTTTGAGCTATAATACTTCTCGAGTGCCCAGATCTATGCAGGTGGTTTTTTAAGAGGCCATGCCTGAAGCCTTCGATCTAAAGGTCTGATCCACAAGGCAGTGGAGAAACGTCAGGAGATGCAGTCCCATGGTAGGCGGTGACCAACGATTGGTTCATACGCCACTTGTTCCTTCGAGATACTGGAAACATGTGCACCATTGTTTTGGAGTCAGGGTTTTCCAACTTCCCTAGGTAGACTCTCCGTATCCATCAACCCGGTTAAAGAGCCGGACATTCGCTTTTCTTCCTCTCAATGTCGTAAACAAATCTGCACCACAAGAAGGCAGTGAGTAGAACTTCCCTGGCATTGACTGTATACACGTGGTCATGTGAGAGCGTTTCCAGAGAAAGAGCTGACTCCTCCCACCCTCAGCCGTACCAGGGCATTTATAGAATGAATGAAATTAAAAATTGGATAAACTTACATTTGATATCATTTTTATTTCACAGATTTTCATCATGTGCTTTTAATATATGCTTTCTTTTGAATGCAATTATAGTTGTTTATTTTAATTCCTGGTTATAAATATTTTGTTCTTATATTTGATTTAGGTGACAAAAATGTCTTTATTTATTGTCAAAAAAGGATATTTTAAGAAATGAAACAAGTTTTCTGGTTGCCCTCCCTATTTTTATTAAATAAATGTTCAAATATAAGCAAATGATATCCTGTCAAATTTAACATACCTTACATAAAATTTGTCAAAACTAGTCCAATCGAAAATAAAGTTTATTTGTATAAATGTATTTGAAACAAAATAGTAACCATGTATGTTATATCACTTTACAATTTATTTAGTAACAAAACTGAAAAAAAATTATACTATCTTGTGAATCAAAATGACAATCAGTTAACCCTTTTAAACTTGGTTTATGAGTACACATATTGGTTACTGACTGTAAGCAATAAATCACTTGATACAATGTAACGAATATTTTGATTGGTCGTTTGAATCTTACTGATGATGTTTAGATCTGTAATTGATCAGTCTCTTTTTTAGCATATGTGCATGTTGTGCAGATTGTCTCTATATTGTCAGTAAATCACAAGTATTTTACGCAGAGATGGATGGTGACTATCAGTTGAATCCAAGAATTAAAATTAAAATTCACCCAACTGTACAAACCAGTAGCTATCTGAACTCAGTAGCTATGTAGATAATGCGATCGCCGTTGAATTGAATCGCACTGAGTTTGAGTCCCAAAGTGAATATTAACTCTGAAATGCAGGTAAATCCAGGTGACGAGTCCCAAATAAGACGAAACGTGAGTATGGAATTCTACTGATAGCCACGATCCATCAATGCTTAAAATGAATTTAACCAATAATTTCAGATTATGGTTGACATAATTATTACAAATTTGAAACCAATCAAGAATTTCATCCACTCATATTATGAATATAATCTATCATGTTCGACAAAGTATTTTTGCATTTGCTTATTACTCATACCCTATTTCTCTCATCAGTTTATCAACAGAGATAAACAAATCGACTGACCAATAGAATTTTTTTTCAATGTTTAAGATCATGAGTTAGTGGAAGCTGGTCACTACTTCTCACTAGAACTCCAGGATATACCTCTTGAAGCTAGTCACTAGTGAGCATATGTTGATTAATATCAGATGGGTTTTGTGGATATTATAGTTTCAATGGTTAAGATCATGAGTCAGTTGAAGCTAGGCCACCATGGAAAACTTGGAAGCACTGGACCGCCGTTTCGACCTATTGTGGGACTCCTCAGCAGTGCGCACTCAAATTTATTCTTCCTAATTAAAAACTGTGACCGACTCGTTTTACTTTACTGTTATGCATTCAATATCAAAATGTTAATTGTTTGTGATAATTTAAAGTGATTTAAAGAATTTTTTAGAAAAAAACATGTATTGATGAACATTAATGAGCAAATATATATCTAAGAATTATCAAGACCTTTATTTTCCATTGATTAGTGACTATATTTCTTTTTTTTAGACTAAAGACTAAATTTGCACCAAAGTTGTCGCCTTTGTAAATCAATCACGTAATATTTTATTACTTTTGTAATTAAAATCAGGCATTTCCACCACATTTTTTATTTTATAAAGTATATAACGGTATGAAATCACTACTATGTTATGTACCATTCTAAAGATAACCTAGGTATTTTTACCACCAAACTATTTGTACTGAATCATTTTAATATAATTTGCTTCTCTGTCAAAATATACATTAGGCGATTCAAAGTTTGTAAAATACTTAATTTAAGTATAAATCAACTATTTGAACAGAAGCTGATGTATTAATATAAACCAATTTTCAGTAAGTCAGACATACTTAATCTGTTCAATAAATGTACGACCTGAAGTTATGAGAAGCTTTTTCTTTAAAATGTAATATGCGTCGTTCTTATTCCCTCCAATAAACCTCCTAATATTGAAATCTTACATGTTTGTTCTCCAGTTCCACTGATCAAAATATTATTAGAAACCTTCAAAAGTCAAGCTGATCAGCTAACTAGTTGTTTCACATTTCGTCGGAATTGTATAAACAGATAGTTTTCCTATATTTATGACATCGACAATTATCTGGACAGTTAATCGATGATTGAAAGAAATAAGATACTGTTCACATTCAATGGGTCTGTTAACATAAGAAATCAGTGGATATCCTAATTTTATAATGTTCACAACACTAATTGGAAAGCTTGACCTACTTAAAAATCATGTTACTTTTATTGGGTTAACCCCGATAAACAGACTTGAACCTTACATAAATTTCCTGATTTGTTAATTATTGACAAATTCAAAGTAATCAGGATAACATCTTTGCGTTCTCCTGGTTTGTTACTGAATCTTTATTATTAATGTGAGTGGTAGTTAGTGGAAAAAAACTATAGAGGTTGAACAGAACAATTAGTATGTCTAACTCAAAGACTAAATACACGTCTGTCTCATTGTTAACCGTATAATAAAATATTAACTGATCATTCGTTATTTGCATTAGGAACATTAGTGAATAAAGCAATTTGTTATGTCTCGGTTGTTCTCATCGTTCTTTCGAACTGTCATTGTCTACAAGAGTAACTATTACTCCGGAACAGTTTGTTTTTTACTAATTGTGAAGCATTTTTAGAAGGATTGCTTGAAATTGTATTAATTCTCCTCACTTTCATAATTCACACAATACAACCAAATTATTAAGTTTGGTGTCTTAAAACATTTATTTAAGGCTCTGCTGCAGGTTCATTTTGTAGATCATAAAGATAAGAATAAACAATTTTTATTGTTTATCATCGAAATTGCTATCAAATCACATATCCCACCACAGCGTGATTTACAGACATAAATGAAACTCTGAAAAACATTATAAATCCTATAATTTATGCAATCAACTACTTTCAACTATGTATCAGTTCCCATTTATGCATGAACACTTTTTTTTCAAATAACTCGTAATTAATCGACTAGGAATTAGCTTTTTAACATTTTTGAGCCAAATGGCTGTAATAACTTCCTTAATAATTAAGGAGAATTTGAAAATTTCTAAAATAAACTCAGGCATAACGTAAGCATAACATTGATGGATGAAATGTATTGCCTAAATGGTTATTCATCCAAAGGCTGAGTTCATCATTGAAATGTAAATATGGTGTATCCGACTGGATAAGAAAAGCTTCATGATCAAACCACAAACAAAAAATAATATTTGGATTTATTTTAATGAAAATATAGAAAATATCATGGATGAGATATCTATATTCCATACCATTTTCACTAAACAATTATTTAATATGTCTATGAAATGTTTCCAAAAAAGAAGCACATTCAATGGTTTAATTCTTTCTCATTTAGTATTAATACTACATCATTAGATACTACTACATATATATATGTATGGGCACACAAACACACTTTCGACAACAGATGAGTCATTTAAATACTGTGTATAAACGTGTTGTTTTCTTTTTCACATTTTACACCATACTACATATTTTTTTTCTGTTTCTTTAGTATAGTTTGTTTATTTATTTCTATATCATTGATTTTATTTACCCTTTGTTTTATCTACAGTACACTACCTATCAGATAATTTTTACTTATAATCCATTATCATTTAATGGTAATTCAAAAGAAGTGGAATTCTCCATTCCATGGAATGATGATTATTGGCATTTGGGAATATTAATTAAACCCGATCAAGTTAGTTTACGTCAAATTTAGTTGTGTGTTCAACTTGTTTGGCATATATATCAGTAAAAATTAATGCTGTTTATTTTATTTATAATATTCGATATTTGTTTATTGCTATTATTAATTGTCTATTTTATTATTGTATTATGAAACAAAATCAAAGTTATAAACAATTCCAACGAATCATTCAGAATTAAATGACGAAACAAGAGTTATGTATGATAAAGTTGAAATTCTAACTGGAATATTTGATGTTATTTTCTATATTTCAAGTTGGTCTGTGTTTAAGTCAAACTAAACTTAAACAGAAAATCATTTCGAGTAAAACTGAAATGTGCAACATAAACTATGTAGTTAATATTATGAATTAAAGGAAAACACAAATGAATCTGTAGTTTATTCATATGAAGTAATATATGACTTGTAGAAATAACTATAGAATACAATTAATCATAAAGACTTTATAAAGAAATCAACAGAACACCATATCTGTGTTAAAGAATACGTTTGTTTACTTGTTTGTTTTTATTTTTTACAATAACTCTGTTTTCTTATGTAAGTCATGAAGTTCTTGTTAATTTTGAAAAAAAATATGTTTCTTTGAATCAAAATTTACTGACTGATACATTTTAACGTTTTGCGTACTTTAGCTGTGAAAATTGTTTCTAACTACAAATAAATGTTTTATGTCATTGTAAACTACAATCTGTTTTAGATGAAAACAAAAATGTCATTTTTAAAGGTGAAACACAATGATGAATTAACTATAGTTATAAAAGACCTGCTTCAAACTACTGCAAATTATAAAGTCATAATTACAGATTATTATGTTTTGTAATTAGAAATATTTACAACATCGTCACTGATACTGAAGTAAATCCACCTGATGAGTCCTTGATAGGACGAAACACTAGTCGTGAATTCAGTTGGTAGTCACAATTCAAAATATCTCATCAATACTACACTTTTTAAAAAAACATGATTTAAGCTCATTATTATGAACAGCCTTTATATGAGAAGTGAGCCAAATCATAGATTCGTGATTACCTAGGATCAATGAATCCAGAATAATTACATAATAATTCATTGTACATTATGTGCATACAAAAGATTCTAATTTCAAAAGATTGTTTTCATCTTGTCAATGATATTGAGTTATACTTTTGCTTTGATGAAGTATCAAGTGTTGATGAGTTGATGGAATACTTGATAGAGATTATTTGCAGCTCAGTTGGATGGTTTTGATGAAGTTGCGTCCTCCAAGCTAGATGGTTTAAATGTGAAGCTTTTATTGTTTTTCCAGAAAACATTATCAGTATAAACTTCAGCTCCAAGAACAAAACTTTACAAAAACTTGATAGGTTTATTGAGATAGTTAATCGAAAATTTATTATCGGCTGACTTAAAGGCATTGCAGATGGAACGACTGGTATAGCTAGCTTTACATTAACAAAAAAACATAATACGATTGTATTTATGATTGATACAGTGGACAGATCAAAATTCGTCAAATAAGATGCCTGTGTTACACTAATCAAAAAACCTCCTAATAACAAGTACATGTTATTGGCTAAGAAATGATTTCATTTTCTATGGAGTAGACGTAAAATAAGCGCTTATACAATTGATGCGGTCAAGTCCACTGAACTTCCTTCTTCATTGTTGGTTTTCTTACTCGATAGCTGGTTAACGGTGTACGTATAGGAAGTTTGTGTATCAGCATCAGTTCTGTACACCGCTTGTTATATAAAAGACATTAAGGGAAAATTGTCCCTTATCAATTATTGCAAATCGATATACCGTTTTCACTGCGACACAAACATATCAATTAAAATTTTGTTAACTATTTACAAGGTTCGTTGTTCAACTCAAATAAGCTTCTACTCTACAGGGACCATGTATTAAATGAATCGTTTTGTTGCCAATATTCTTAAAACAGGTGATCGTTTCAAACTTGTTCACTTGTATACATTTAATTACTGTTCTAAACAAAACGCTAACAGTTCAGATTGAAAAATTTGTTTGGTATAGATAACTTATTTAGTTATTTAGTTATTTTTCATGTTCTAATTTAGTAACACCACAGAAAATGCTCACAAAAAGACTTAAATGCTTACCATATAAAATGAAAACTGAGGAAACAGATTACTTTTCAAACAAGCATAAGTTTGGAGGTAGGTTTTTATAAAGCAATCAACCTATTAGATAAACTAATTCAAAAGTCATGAAATATTTTATACAGTGATTTGTAAACATTTAATATTTCCGGCCTGTAAATTCGAACAGATTACTGCTGGAGGTAATCGTCACTTAAATCAATTTATTTATCTGTGGTTTCTAGTATTATGAGTGTGTACATGGTAATGTTTTTATCGATTAGTAATTAATTTTAACTTTAGTTTCATTGCATTTCTTTTCTTTTCGTTTCTTCTTGTACGCACATCCATCCCATTAAAGATTGACTTCTATACATCATGTGAAGAAACTCAAAGGATCGCTTATCATTTCTATCCAATTCAAGGTTTACTAGGTGAACCATTATTCCGTAAAGGTGCAACATTTTATGCACTTAATAGTGGCTTAAAGAATGCATCTGAATATTTTGAGGTAAATTCCCCAAATCATTATAGTTTTTGTTTAATTTCCTTTATTTATTTGTGTTTTTACTTCAAATTTTAATTTACTACGCAACAATTTCTTCACTTGTAGGCAATAGAAACAATTTTTTCTTTGTAAAAAAGTGTAGTTTTTATAATTATAATTCATTTATAGGTAAATAAATATGTAAGCCACATGTATAACTGATTGTGTTGTACTAGTCTAACGAGGGATTCAGACTTACGCTATTGTTTTAGAGGGCAACTAACAAAGAAAGCGAAACACTAACATCAATAATGACTCTTATTTAATAGTTCCTTATCAAAACTAGAGCTCTTTTAAAGTGTATCGTAGTCTAGACTTTTAAATTTAGAAAAGACAATAAACACTACATTAAATCAAATGTACGACCTGACTATCTCAATCACTTTAAGATCTAAATTAAGACAGTATACGGACATGTTTTTATAAGAGTGAACTTTTAATCGTAAGTCAAAATTCATGGGAAATAGGTCACAAAATTTATTATAAAGTGCATTTTATTATTTCATACACCATGAGTATCTTTTAAGGTAAGTTCCGAAGTATAAACAAACCGTTACACAACCACTAATGTATTGTCCATTTGAATTTGAATACAAAATAAACTTGTTCTGTAACCGAACTTAATTAAATAACTAAACATTTACATGTTGCGGCTAATAATTACAATACATTAAACAACTATTCACTTAACTATGATTGTATGATGTTAATTTGAAAATGGACATTTGTTTATTTCCGAAAACTTTTTATGAAACGGTGCATCATGTAAAAGTCAAGTTACAGTCATATCCACAAAATGAGGTTTGATTAGTAGATTTATACATGAAACGTAGTAAATATTTGTAATTGTACTTATCAGCGCAACTATACTGGATAGAACTTAACTTACTATTGAAAATCTATATTAGCAAATTAATAATTAGATCTAAGCGACTTTATTTTCAACAATCGCAACATAATATTTGTTGCATTAATATTATTAAAAAAGGTAGTCATATGTTCATATGATATGTGATTAAGGTTTAACTTGTTCAAAGTATACACATTAATTAACTGTTGTTTATTCCCATTTAATCATCAATTTGGTAATTGTTGTGTTTTCTATTACAGGGTTATTTAAAAGCTTTCAGTTTTCATTCAGATGAAAATGCTCTCCGATATATGTGTACCAAATCGGAAGTAAGGTTTTTTTGTTTGTTTTTCCTTTTCATAAATATTTACTAGTTCTAGAGAGATTAATAAGTTTACAGTTACATTTTGCTGTCAGAATATTGTCTGTAAATGATATTTTTAGCTTTATAATTTATGCTCTATTTAAACTAAATGTAATTTACTGAGTAATTATTTCATTGTAATATAATGAGTCAATTAATTGTCTATTAGAGATACTACACGAATAATTTCAATGCTTATTATTAGTAAAATATGAGATTGATATAATTTGCTTTCATGCATAAATTGGTTACTTTGTTCACATTAGGGAAAAATATCAAATTAGAATTGTATGGTTACAACTTCCTTCAAAGAATAAGTAAACTATGACTCTACAGATAGTTTTGTTAGTAGGAATTTCAAATCCTAAAGTGTAACGAAATTGCAGGTACACAACAGTATAAGAAATACAACATTTTCGTTTGAAAACATAGTAATGTAACCCAACATATACCAATATGTATCGTTGCTAAGATGTTTCATTTAATGTAAAAGTCACTATGAATAATATTTTAAGTAAACTCACTGCATCAATACAACTTGAATAAAGAATATTTTAGAGCTGTAATTTGTTTAACTTCAAATTTCAAATCAAACACTTCTTTAACAAGATGAGTGAAGTGAGTACCGAACTAAACAAAGGTGATTTCTATTATGTGTAATTAGCTACAATATTACTACATATAGGATATAAGTACAATTTTAAATTTTCCAGTTTAATCATAAGGAAATCAAAGATAATAAAATTGTTTTCTTACACAGAAATAATACATGTAATTATATAATACGAAAACCAATACGCTATTTGTATGATTCATATTGAATTATATTTAGATTGTGAGTAGCAGTGAAATCTTTTACTCGTGTCTCGTTCTATTTAGGACTTATAATCTGAATGTACCTGAATCTTAGTTCTAATGTTATTAGGACTTCAGTCTAGTATCAACTTCAAATGTCAACAGTTAATTTAATAAGTTACTGATTCCAGGCAGCTACTAACCTGTCTAATGGGTGTAAGGTCATTTATAAGACTTGTATTCAACCGGTATTACTACTCAAAAAATAATAGAAATCTATGTTCGATTAGACTAACATATTACATGTTTTAGTATGCTTGTCGTATTTATGGGAATTACATAAAATTATTTAATAAAACTTACCAAGAATCTTGATGAAACGGCTTACCTTATATTTTTACAACGTAAAAAGAAACTAATTGTCATCATATATTTCTTCTGAATTATAAACCTTTTGCACTATAAATATGACGTACATGATGTAGTCACATTTAAAGTATTATAGTTTGATGCATGAAAGTTATGTAGTTAACTAATCAATAAGGTTTGGAATATAAAAATTCACAGACCTAAAGATTTTTTTCAACAACCTAGTGAAAAGGGTTAACTTCATTTTAATGTTGTAATTTTTATGAAGTATAATTATGAAAAACTGTAAGAAATCTATGTACACAATATTGCATAAGAGTATATATGAAAACGATAGGAAATAAGGACCCATCAATTAACTTGAAAATGAAGCACTGAATAGTAAGTAGATAACTTTAGAACAAAAACGTGAGTGCCCTTAAAGGTGAAGATACATTAAATTCTAAATATGTATCCAGATTATTTATGATAAATCTCCTAATTAAACGCTAGATTTTGTTACATAAGCTCTTCTAGTAAATTCCAGATTAAATCTTTACAGCGACCTGAACACGAGAGAAAAGGCACAAAATATGGAAAGAATGCTTTACTCCAAGGTTCATTTATGTACAGAAAATTTAAGGTATTTATAGCATTTTAGACGGCTTTGTGCTTCTGAAAATTTCTGGAACATCACTAAATATAGTAGCAGCATAGGTGACATGTGACTTTTCACTTTCTAGATGTTTCTGGTAAGGCGTCTGTTGAATGCTAATTGGATAAGATGTTTCTCAGAGTTTTCAGGGCCCTTTTTGGATTCTTTCGAAGAATTTTCCGAGTCTCCCCAACAATTTAGTTATTAATTCGTAACATTAACTCAAATCATTGAAGTCCTAAAATTTATTTACTCAGTTCTTACCTTTCACACCTTTCACTGATTTGAAAAGAGCATTGACTTTGTGGCATATCTTGCGTAAATTATTAAAAACACTAAATCTACAATTATCATGTTTTATTTTTTTGATTACATTGTCATCTGTAGGAAAGTACTATCATAAGTTAACCACATAGCACTGAAATATAAAGAACTACACTGAACAATCAGCTTGTACGTAATTGTAAAATGTCGGAAATTCAAGATTCTATTCATAAGGACATTACTAACATACTATTATCTTATTATTAGAAACAATTACTATTTATTTAGGAGTTTATAAGACATATTTATACAACAAAGAATGTGCACCTCACTCAATGAGAGTGAAACTGTTTATGAAATATTGAAAGACTTTTATATTATTTTTATTACTCTACATAACTAAATAATTAATTGGGAAAATTTTAGTATTGATTAGTATTGGTTATCAAATTTCAATCATCATTTCACCATCTATTTTAGAATTATGAAGGAAGTGGTGATGCAGATCGTTTTAAATATGATCCCGAATTCGGAAATATATTAATTGTAAGTTCTCAAGGGAGCATATTTTTTGGTAAATTCATAAAGCGTATCCTGTATATATATCGTAACATTATTGGGTGTGGCACTTTTAATGTCATAGGAAGATGAATTTCCAGCTAATTTCAACTCAGAAAAAATATGATCTTTAGACTTAACAAATCTATACATACTATGAAATAAATAATTAACATCTTGCGTTTACTAAGGGATTTACATTCGTTAGAACAATACAGAGATATTTACTAAAAACTACATTGTCAAAATTAATCTTATCACAGTTACAAATACAACCTTAATTATCGATCAACAACTGCCACGTTTATCCGTTTTTTGAATACAAATCATGCAAGTATTAAAATGAAATTATTTGTAATAAATTTATTAAACACAATTAACCTTATCCATTACATGTCCATTAAGTGTAGCCTACTAACTATATATATATATATATATATATATATATATATATATATATATATATATATATATATATATATATATATATATATATATATATATATATGTTTGTATACAGTGACTGAACTAGATGGAAACGGTAGTTATACGTGACCGGAAATATGTATTCCTAATCAATAATGTAAGGCAATTGACAGCATTTTGACGAATACAAATTATCACTTGTAAGCTAGTTAGTTATGTTGTCAAATTTTTTTTCTCCAATCCTACTACTTATTAGAGCCACATCGTAATCAATGTAACATTGACACATGAATTCATGGAAGGAGAAGCACAAAGGTTTTCTCAGACTATATAATTTTTGAGCGCCTTTTCAATAGGATGACATGCGCAATAATAATTGATTACGATTAAATAAATTATAGTAGTTTAACTCGTAAGAATAGCTTAAACAACAAAGGGATAACTGAATCGGTGGCTTAGCTTCGTTAATCAATCACCTTGGTAACCGTTAGCATATAAATCCCCAACGGTATTTGAACGCAGAAGGCGATAAGAAGTGGCAACTACGGCTTATTAGCAGATAGAACAAATAACAAAGTTACAAGCGCATCGAGCGAACTGGAGTAAAGAGGCCAATGTCTATGCGAGCGAATACACAGGCCAATTTATAGTTAAATCGAATCAAGGCGCAGTGAGGCAAGGCAATTAGTAAGATTCAAGCATACACGTTGACCAAGAAATAGACAAATTGTTAATGTTCGAATAACACTGTCTGTTAAATAAGTCAATAAAAGGTTTCGACAAAGTTAACCATAAACAAAAGCGATTGTAAGAGAGTTGCTATAAGTCGAAGAGAAAAGCAAAGTAAGGGATCCGATTCAATATCTTGGATTCCTCAATGAATCCTCATTGTAAAGATAACATAAATTTATTTACTTTAGTAAATTGGCTTTGTATTGTACCATTGTCTCTGCTAACTTAAATAAAAAGTCATTCATTCAAAGAATGCGATATTTGACAGTAAAATCATATCACAAAAATAAACTTCAAAATCTATCCAACTAAATCAACTGATTTCAAAGAGGAAATATTTACTAAATAAATCATTAAAAAAGGTAGATAATTTCAACTGAATGTTTACAGAAAATGAATCAGAACCATTTGTAAACTATTGAACACCTTCAATTGAATATACAATTTGCTCTAGTAATTATAAATTGAATGATAGCAACAACAAAATTTTTATCAGTGAACACTTAACTATTGAAGAGTTTGAGAGTTAATGTTTCACATCAAAAAATCACTTATTCATATCTTAAAGCCAGTTAATATAAATTAATTAATGAATAAATTAGTGATCCCTTCAGATAATTCCTTTTTAATTATACTATTATTCTATTGATTTTTTTTTAAAAAAATAGCGTTCATTATAAATTATAACAATTGACTTTGTTTAATTATGTCCAATGAACCAAATGGACAACAACAACAACAAATTATTATTATTATTTTATATTAAAACTATTTTTAATTTGATAATTGAATTAATTCTAGTTACAATTTATTGTTATTTCTCATTTAAAAATAAACTTCAATAATTAATTACTTGCTCCAAAAATAATTAACATATCACATTGATATAGATATATATATATATATTTGCTTACATCTATGAAGGTAAATATCTGAAATGGTGAAGAAGATTTGTAGCTCAGGTGGATGATTTTCTTGGTGGAGTTTTGTTCTCGTTACAAAGATTTTACAGTGGTAAATTTGACAAATATTAGAAATACCAAGAATAAATATTAGATATACACCTTAAAGAAATGAAAAGGTTAAATTATTGAATTTCTTCTATGTAAATTAATTTTGATCCTATAGTCTAGAAATTACACTGAGGTATGTATAACCATAAATAATCGACTTGTAACACAAAACTTACTTTACACTGTTTCAATTTTGATCAACTTGTCAACGCGCGTTAAAACAGTCGCTGATTTTGAATAATGAATTGAAGTAAAAACAAGTAGATTCTTTTCATATTTGTCAAAGTTTGTTAGCTGATTATATCTGAATCCGAATGTTGATATTTTAATCCAATGACTATCGCTTTGAAATGTATAGCTTTATTCATTAGTTACCAAGTCATAAAACTTGCCACTTATTCATTATATCCAGTTATTGATGTAAAAAAAAGAGACTAAATCTAGTGACCTTCAGCCAACCACTATGAAAACTGTAAAATCGAACGTAACTTCACCTATTTTGATTCATACTAAATATTGACTATTGAATAAAGAATTCGCACACGTATCAATGATATGGTAAATGGCCTAGATTCAATGACTTCCGTATAAATCAACTGTTGCCTATTTAAAAATCTTGTAATATATAAGATGTAAGAGAAATTTGGTTACAAAAACAGATGTGTTTAAAAGAAAACATACTTTATGACTGGATCTACGCTTGATTTATTATCAAATGTTTTGAATTAAAACTGATTTAGTTTGTCTTAGCAACAGAAACACTTTGAATATCTTGCTGATTAAAAATGAAAATGAAAAATTTCAGAAAAGTTTTGAAGTACACAAACACGGGAAATCGATGATAAATTTAAATTTAACGACTACTTATAAGCTTGATAACAAGTTTATGGGTGAATGAGATGTTTCTCGTTCAGTCAGCTATTAATGTGTAAACAATTATAGTGTTTCATCATATTAAAAGTTTAGCTAATTTTGCATGGTGAGTCATAATACGCTTCTACAACCTCCACTTGTATCAATTAATAAATCAAGTGAAAAGGATTATTAACTTTAATGATTATTAATTTTTAATTTGGATATTTTCCTCATAACAAGGAAACTACCATTCACACAGTAATTGAATGTCATGATGTACTGTAAAGGTTTTTCACTTTTCTGTGGTATCTCAGAATTGTATGCACGCATAATTCATTTCACTGGGAAATTCTTTATAATCAGAATGGGGGTTTGTGGAGAATGTAATAATTTTAACAGTTGAATTCATAAGCCGATTAAAGCTAGACCACCATGAAAACCTGGAAGCACTGGACAGCCGTTTCATCTTAGTATGGGACCCCTCATCAGTGCGCATCCATGATCCCACATGCGAGACTCAAACACAAGACCTTCGGTCTCGCGCGCGAACACTTAACCTCTAGACTACTGAGCCGGCATCCAATAGTGTTAATATCTAATTTCAATCGATCCATGATTTTGCACAACTATTCCTCTATTGTTTGAGGTAGATACATGTTTCTATCCAACACGGACTGAACTATTGATCACGGCCTCTCACTAGAACTGCAGGCAGCCAGTCAAAAGTGAGCACATGGTGATTATGATCAGTGCTTCCAGGTTTTCAATGATGGTTTAGCTTAGATCGACTCATGAATTCAACTGTTAAGATCCATTACACTCACATCCTTTGATGAAGCCTTTTGACTCAAGGAGTTCACATGTCTAGTCACATCTAACTCGCAATATACTCCATCTTTCTAATGTGACTGAGAAACAGGTGATCCACCTCAATACATTCATACATTTTCCTCTCTATTCAACAATAATATATATTAAAAGTTAGTAAACTGAAGAATTAATCTGTTTATTCAACGGACTAAAATAAATGTCAACTACTGAGAAATTTCCATCCAATGCTTTTTCAGTCAACTGGCTGTATACAACGTAGGTCTCTTATGCAACTGTGTCTAAGCTGACACATCACAGAATAGTACAGTGACAAAATTACCAAGATAAAAGTAGGAAAAGAAACAAATTTAAGTCGAATGTAAGGCTAAGATTGATAAACATATTTTTTGAATCCATATTGAGATTTTGTCTGCCAAGAGGCTAGCAAGGCTTATGAAAATTTCAAGATGAAGAGCAATGATTAACATACTCAACAACTTGACATGAATCGTTTGCACCTTAGTCTGTATTGCATGTTTGATTGTATATTATCTTATAATAGAATTAGCACTCACTTAATCCACAAATCATCAGTTCATTACTAACATATAATAAACCTTTATCTTGTAGTGAATCGTGTATATCAACAGATTCATAGTGATATTTCGTAAACTATTATTTATACATAAATTTAGCTGGCTAATGTTTGTAATTAGTAATGATGAAAATGACAGTTTAGTATATTGAGTAGATGAAAATTAATATCTTTTGACTGTGCGTGTGTTAATAGTGTTCTGTTCTGGTTATAACATACACAACAGAACGGTAAGGTCATCAAAATAAACACAATTATATTCTTTTCTTGACATGTAAAACATAACAGTTTTGTTTCTATTTGTTTATTTAATACAGACTAGCTCAATACAAGACGATGAAGAGGTAAGTTCTAAAAAATTCATATAAAGCAAACAAATAATATAACACCCAATAGTTTTTGACACAGTGGAGATCTGTAGTTAAAACGGATTATTTTGTAATTAATGGGGATGTCTCTGTTGAATAAATTAATTGTGAAGATCTATTTCGGTCTTTCCAAACACCATCAACATCATAAACCTTAAAACAATTCAGCTAGTAGAATTTCTTAAGCTTGGGTTGATTATGGTGGGTGGGAGGAAAATGAAACTTCTACAGTTGAATCGCTTAACTGAGTAAACAAAACATTATTAAATTTAACAGATTATTTATTTCTGAAAAGATACAAAAATTACGATGAGACTATAATTTGTGGACGACCTTTGAGCGACAGTGAAGTGATCTTGAGGATGTTCACCCACTTACTAGGGCCAAATGAGGGTTATAAACTTGTGCAAAGAATAAGCATTATGATTCGCAGTTGATGGTTAGGATTAAGAATTATATTCAGGGTTTTCATCACAAACTGACATCAGACAAAATGCCAAAAACGCTATTTAGCCAAATGGATGAATGAATTTTGCACTAAAATCCAAGATCTGTTATCCTAAACCTGATTGATCCGTCCATAAACAATAGTCTCACCCTAATAACAACCGATTAAAACTCGAACTGGGTAAAATATTTGTTTCTCTATTCATAGTATATTTAATTGATAGTATTGTTCAACAATTAACACATTCTGAACCTCATTCCTGGCTGAACGTCTTCGAACTCAAGGAGGTTTTTTACTTTAGCTCAGATTTGGTCTAATGTCACTCAAAAATGCAACTTATTAATGAGGATTTTCTAAATTTCATTTTCTTCAATTCTAGTGATATTTTATTTAACTATTAGGTATGTAATAATAATGTCTTAATATAAAGCATAGTTCAAATTGGGTAACACATTATTTAAACCTAATGTGTACCTTTACATCAGTCTAATATATAAACTAGCAATCATGTAAGAATCATGAGTCCGAATTCCCTAATATGACCTTTAACTGAACATCCACTGTTTATTCCATTTCACATAAATAACATTAAATCTAATCAAATGGAATGTCGATTAACTTTCCTAAATGTGAATGAGTGGATTGTAGAAAAACTGACTGATTCAATATTGATACCATAGTAAATCTAAAAACCATTTAGTTTCAGTGTTCAGAATTTCTCGAATACACCTTGCAGCTAATGGTACCGCTACAAGTTCAGGATTTACTTAAAACTTCATAAAGTGCGAAAACAGAAGCATTTATTTAATACTTTTAAAATTACTAATTCACTTCCATTTACTGAATTAAAAGACAGTGTGTATTTTAGTGGAGTAGGAGGATTAGTAGTTATAAAGCTTGGTTTTTAATCAATAGACCAACATTTCATTCCTGCTTTACCCAATTAAATTAAGACAGTTCATCAGTGCTGACTAACCATCACAGAAGCGGCTGGACTCAAAGTTTCGTACATTAATACATACTTGGTTAATGAGTTACATTAAATAATTAGTGTATTTTAATGCTAAAACCAGTATCTCTATAACCCTGAAGAGTACTTATATACACACAAACTCCTCAGTCCTAGATGTTAGATGTTTTCATAATATAGCCTTCTGTTTCAGTAGGAATCGCTATTGATTTGATTAGGTGATAAAAACTCGTTATCAAGTGAATATTTGGTCAAATGAAAAGGAGAAATTGTACTTTCTAATATCAACTTGTGACTTTTATTTAATTAAATTGTTTATCGTGAATTAGTTTGTCCAAGACTGATTTGTCAATATTTTGCTAATGAATTAGATAAATAAGTGGGTTTTGTAGTTATTGCTAATACATAACGAATTCGTTCAAGGAGAACATATTCCAACAGAGACCGATCTAATTCGGCCGTGAATTTAGACAAAGGGAAAATATGAACTCTTTTGACCAGCAATACACATCAAACCCATTTAGAAAGTTTGTAGACATCTTGACTCAGTAGCCTAATGTGTAACCAATGAGTGTTGCAAGCCATAGGTACCGTGGTCATAGGCTTATTTTCAACATTAAAATAAGTATCCACTTACATTAATCTGATTAATTTTAGATAAAACTAGACTTAAGTTCTGTGTTCCACTGATCATCGCTATCAAGAAGTAAAATGAAATTTCTACTATAGGTTGATAAAAATCAATCACTGAAAACATCCTCATTTCAGGTATTCAAGGTCTAAAACTTGATATAAGATAATAATAAAATATCATTAACAAAACAATGGAGCTTTCCAGATTTCAGAATGATCCAATTTTACATGTATTTATTGAGAATTCTATAAAATGACGATAATAATTTGAGTTTAAATTGAGAATTTAAGCCTAAAAATAAATTATTAATAAGCTCGAAATACCTATATCTGGAAAAAGATAAAAATATGTAAAACATTTCAATCAGAATGCTTTTGACTTTCATAAATTCCAGGGTATGTAATTGCAAAAAGAAAAAAAAACAATAAATGAGCTTCGAATTCTTATTCACCGTGTAAATAGAGAGAACTGAGAGATTTTGTATTAAAAAAATACCGAGATAAATTAGTCAAAAACGATAGACTATGAAATTAAAATAGCTGATAGATATTATCATAAAATAATACACGGTAATAGGAAAAGTAGAACAAATAACGCAAATAAGCGTAAATGGTGAAAAAAGTAGGAAAAAACACTTAATTCCCTTCTCGATAAATACTTCCTATTTTAGAAGGAGATTACAATAGACAATGAAGATTATGAAAGTGGAAAACAAGAGAATAAAGAGGAAATTAAAACAGAAACAGACAACAAAGAAATGGTAACGACCGAGAAAACTGACATAAAACTGAAAACGGAATATAAATATAGATATATAATGAAAGACCCAGGAACAGGAGGTCTAGTCGACATACAAGATATGAAGGAAAATGTCGTTATAAACGGAGCTATAAAACTAACAGATGAATTAGCCATTCTACCAAACGGAGATATTGTAGCAACGAAGCCGCTCATTGAAAACCAACGTTTTATCATAGCTGAAAATCTAAGTCAAATAAGTGACAGAGAGGTTTACGGAACATATAGCGGAGAAATGATTAAAGGAGCAGAAGTAGATGACAAAGGAATAATATATTTACCAAATTCAACACTTGCGATAATAGTTTCACTCGATAAAGATCGATATGTCATATTGAAAAATAACAAAACACAGAGAGAATCAATATTTGACCGTCGTCTCGGAACAGAACTAGTAAATGCCACGCTCCACCATAATGGAATGATCAAATTAGCCACTGGACAGCTCGTAGCTCCCTCCTCTCGAGAAGGCTATAAATACATGGTAGTCACAAATGAAGACGACCAAACCCTTCTAGTTTACGATCGTTTTACAGGAGAACAGATCAAGGGTGCACAGGTTGATCCCAATGGTTTGATTCAGTTTGAAGATGGACGCATGGCCATCGAGCCATCATCCAAACTAGATAGATATGTTATAATGACGGACCCAAACAACGGTGAAAAACTAGTTTTCGACAGACGAACAGGTAGTCATATCAAGGATGCTGTGTACAGTGAAGATGGGTTGATTCGCTTTCCAGACGGTAGGCGCGTTGCACCAGGTTCCACTGATAACAGCTCACAGTATCTAATTTACTTCGACCCTACAACGAAGGAGAACTTGGTTTTTGACAGACATACTGGTGAACAAGTCGAGGGTGCCTCAGTAGACTCACGAGGTTTCATACTTCTTCCCGATGGTAAATTGCATCTAGATCAGAACCAAGTAAAGCATAGGTACATTGTTCTACAGGAGACAACCGATAATACCACATTCGTAGTCGACACTAAATCAGGCCAGAAAATTGATGGAGCAGTTGTTTTGAACAATGGTCTCGTCAAGCTACCCGATGGAAATCTGGTTGCACCCAGCTCAAACACAAGCGCAAATTACATGGTGGTCGAATTGACTGAGGGCGAAGAGAATTCAGTAGTATTCGATCGCAGGACAGGTGAGCAAATCCCAGATGCTTACCTAGACAAGGATGGTATCATACATTTGCCGGATGGAAGTTTGGCTATCTCGGCATCAGAAACTATGGATCGCTACCTTGTGGCACAAGATAACCTGACAGGAGACCCTGTGATGTTTGATCGTCGACTCGGAACAGAACTAGTAAATGCCACGCTCCACCATAATGGAATGATCAAATTAGCCACTGGACAGCTCGTAGCTCCCTCCTCTCGAGAAGGCTATAAATACATGGTAGTCACAAATGAAGACGACCAAACCCTTCTAGTTTACGATCGTTTTACAGGAGAACAGATCAAGGGTGCACAGGTTGATCCCAATGGTTTGATTCAGTTTGAAGATGGACGCATGGCCATCGAGCCATCATCCAAACTAGATAGATATGTTATAATGACGGACCCAAACAACGGTGAAAAACTAGTTTTCGACAGACGAACAGGTAGTCATATCAAGGATGCTGTGTACAGTGAAGATGGGTTGATTCGCTTTCCAGACGGTAGGCGCGTTGCACCAGGTTCCACTGATAACAGCTCACAGTATCTAATTTACTTCGACCCTACAACGAAGGAGAACTTGGTTTTTGACAGACATACTGGTGAACAAGTCGAGGGTGCCTCAGTAGACTCACGAGGTTTCATACTTCTTCCCGATGGTAAATTGCATCTAGATCAGAACCAAGTAAAGCATAGGTACATTGTTCTACAGGAGACAACCGATAATACCACATTCGTAGTCGACACTAAATCAGGCCAGAAAATTGATGGAGCAGTTGTTTTGAACAATGGTCTCGTCAAGCTACCCGATGGAAATCTGGTTGCACCCAGCTCAAACACAAGCGCAAATTACATGGTGGTCGAATTGACTGAGGGCGAAGAGAATCCAGTAGTATTCGATCGCAGGACAGGTGAGCAAATCCCAGATGCTTACCTAGACAAGGATGGTATCATACATTTGCCGGATGGAAGTTTGGCTATCTCGGCATCAGAAACTATGGATCGCTACCTTGTGGCACAAGATAACCTGACAGGAGACCCTGTGATGTTTGATCGTCGACTCGGAACAGAACTAGTAAATGCCACGCTCCACCATAATGGAATGATCAAATTAGCCACTGGACAGCTCGTAGCTCCCTCCTCTCGAGAAGGCTATAAATACATGGTAGTCACAAATGAAGACGACCAAACCCTTCTAGTTTACGATCGTTTTACAGGAGAACAGATCAAGGGTGCACAGGTTGATCCCAATGGTTTGATTCAGTTTGAAGATGGACGCATGGCCATCGAGCCATCATCCAAACTAGATAGATATGTTATAATGACGGACCCAAACAACGGTGAAAAACTAGTTTTCGACAGACGAACAGGTAGTCATATCAAGGATGCTGTGTACAGTGAAGATGGGTTGATTCGCTTTCCAGACGGTAGGCGCGTTGCACCAGGTTCCACTGATAACAGCTCACAGTATCTAATTTACTTCGACCCTACAACGAAGGAGAACTTGGTTTTTGACAGACATACTGGTGAACAAGTCGAGGGTGCCTCAGTAGACTCACGAGGTTTCATACTTCTTCCCGATGGTAAATTGCATCTAGATCAGAACCAAGTAAAGCATAGGTACATTGTTCTACAGGAGACAACCGATAATACCACATTCGTAGTCGACACTAAATCAGGCCAGAAAATTGATGGAGCAGTTGTTTTGAACAATGGTCTCGTCAAGCTACCCGATGGAAATCTGGTTGCACCCAGCTCAAACACAAGCGCAAATTACATGGTGGTCGAATTGACTGAGGGCGAAGAGAATCCAGTAGTATTCGATCGCAGGACAGGTGAGCAAATCCCAGATGCTTACCTAGACAAGGATGGTATCATACATTTGCCGGATGGAAGTTTGGCTATCTCGGCATCAGAAACTATGGATCGCTACCTTGTGGCACAAGATAACCTGACAGGAGACCCTGTGATGTTTGATCGTCGACTCGGAACAGAACTAGTAAATGCCACGCTCCACCATAATGGAATGATCAAATTAGCCACTGGACAGCTCGTAGCTCCCTCCTCTCGAGAAGGCTATAAATACATGGTAGTCACAAATGAAGACGACCAAACCCTTCTAGTTTACGATCGTTTTACAGGAGAACAGATCAAGGGTGCACAGGTTGATCCCAATGGTTTGATTCAGTTTGAAGATGGACGCATGGCCATCGAGCCATCATCCAAACTAGATAGATATGTTATAATGACGGACCCAAACAACGGTGAAAAACTAGTTTTCGACAGACGAACAGGTAGTCATATCAAGGATGCTGTGTACAGTGAAGATGGGTTGATTCGCTTTCCAGACGGTAGGCGCGTTGCACCAGGTTCCACTGATAACAGCTCACAGTATCTAATTTACTTCGACCCTACAACGAAGGAGAACTTGGTTTTTGACAGACATACTGGTGAACAAGTCGAGGGTGCCTCAGTAGACTCACGAGGTTTCATACTTCTTCCCGATGGTAAATTGCATCTAGATCAGAACCAAGTAAAGCATAGGTACATTGTTCTACAGGAGACAACCGATAATACCACATTCGTAGTCGACACTAAATCAGGCCAGAAAATTGATGGAGCAGTTGTTTTGAACAATGGTCTCGTCAAGCTACCCGATGGAAATCTGGTTGCACCCAGCTCAAACACAAGCGCAAATTACATGGTGGTCGAATTGACTGAGGGCGAAGAGAATTCAGTAGTATTCGATCGCAGGACAGGTGAGCAAATCCCAGATGCTTACCTAGACAAGGATGGTATCATACATTTGCCGGATGGAAGTTTGGCTATCTCGGCATCAGAAACTATGGATCGCTACCTTGTGGCACAAGATAACCTGACAGGAGACCCTGTGATGTTTGATCGTCGACTCGGAACAGAACTAGTAAATGCCACGCTCCACCATAATGGAATGATCAAATTAGCCACTGGACAGCTCGTAGCTCCCTCCTCTCGAGAAGGCTATAAATACATGGTAGTCACAAATGAAGACGACCAAACCCTTCTAGTTTACGATCGTTTTACAGGAGAACAGATCAAGGGTGCACAGGTTGATCCCAATGGTTTGATTCAGTTTGAAGATGGACGCATGGCCATCGAGCCATCATCCAAACTAGATAGATATGTTATAATGACGGACCCAAACAACGGTGAAAAACTAGTTTTCGACAGACGAACAGGTAGTCATATCAAGGATGCTGTGTACAGTGAAGATGGGTTGATTCGCTTTCCAGACGGTAGGCGCGTTGCACCAGGTTCCACTGATAACAGCTCACAGTATCTAATTTACTTCGACCCTACAACGAAGGAGAACTTGGTTTTTGACAGACATACTGGTGAACAAGTCGAGGGTGCCTCAGTAGACTCACGAGGTTTCATACTTCTTCCCGATGGTAAATTGCATCTAGATCAGAACCAAGTAAAGCATAGGTACATTGTTCTACAGGAGACAACCGATAATACCACATTCGTAGTCGACACTAAATCAGGCCAGAAAATTGATGGAGCAGTTGTTTTGAACAATGGTCTCGTCAAGCTACCCGATGGAAATCTGGTTGCACCCAGCTCAAACACAAGCGCAAATTACATGGTGGTCGAATTGACTGAGGGCGAAGAGAATCCAGTAGTATTCGATCGCAGGACAGGTGAGCAAATCCCAGATGCTTACCTAGACAAGGATGGTATCATACATTTGCCGGATGGAAGTTTGGCTATCTCGGCATCAGAAACTATGGATCGCTACCTTGTGGCACAAGATAACCTGACAGGAGACCCTGTGATGTTTGATCGTCGACTCGGAACAGAACTAGTAAATGCCACGCTCCACCATAATGGAATGATCAAATTAGCCACTGGACAGCTCGTAGCTCCCTCCTCTCGAGAAGGCTATAAATACATGGTAGTCACAAATGAAGACGACCAAACCCTTCTAGTTTACGATCGTTTTACAGGAGAACAGATCAAGGGTGCACAGGTTGATCCCAATGGTTTGATTCAGTTTGAAGATGGACGCATGGCCATCGAGCCATCATCCAAACTAGATAGATATGTTATAATGACGGACCCAAACAACGGTGAAAAACTAGTTTTCGACAGACGAACAGGTAGTCATATCAAGGATGCTGTGTACAGTGAAGATGGGTTGATTCGCTTTCCAGACGGTAGGCGCGTTGCACCAGGTTCCACTGATAACAGCTCACAGTATCTAATTTACTTCGACCCTACAACGAAGGAGAACTTGGTTTTTGACAGACATACCGGTGAGCAAGTTGAAGGTGCTTATGTTGATGAACTGAATATGATTCATCTTCCTGACGGTGATTTATTTCTTCAGCCTGATGTTTTATATCCGCGCTACATGTCACTTTCTCGCAGCAGTGATAATTTTCCAGTGGTTTTGGATTCTTCCACCGGTGAAATTTTGAACGCATCTTTTTTAGGTGGTTCTCTTTTCCGTTTAAATAGTGGTGGAGTAATCGCAGTGGGCAACTTATCAGGTGGTCGTTTCGTTGTTTATGATGGTGTTGATGTTGCAGTTCCACGTATTTACGACACGTTGCTGGGTCACGCTGTACCAGGAGCTGTTCTTCGGCCTGATGGTTGGATTGAGTTTACGGATGGCCTAGTCTTTCCTGTGCTTTCTTCTGTTCCTGTCGGTCAGCGCTATTTTGTTTTTCGCAATTCATCCTCAGGGCAGGAAATTGTTTATGACGCTATATTAGGTTCAGCTGTTTCGGATTCATTTGTTGACGAAAACGGTGTCATTCATTTAACGAACGGATCAATTTTTAGTCCAATCACTTATAATCACACTTCTTTTTTGTTTGACGATCTTTCGGAACCTGCTTATTCATCAACACTTCGTGAACGTAAAAATGCTTCTCTATATCATATTGTCTCATTGAATTCGACTACTAAAATGGTTAGTTATTTAAAACCACTGATTTACAATGTCTGTAAACTAAACTGTACGCACTTGGTTATATAGCTTACACTAATCATTTTTAAAACGCTTATCATAGAAATGCTAATATATCTATGCTAATGACCATGTTTCTCAACTGCATATTTCATCAGTTTTGTTTATTGTTTTTCATTGTGATTGAATTATTTTTTAACCTATTACCAACTACCATTTCAATGTCATAAAAATCTGCTTCCTAAATTATCTACTCACTATGTTCATTACTTCAAAACTTAGTAAAGTTTTCACTGAATGATCATAAATCTTACGCTTTCAACTCACTTCAGTAACTAAACTTTCAGTCATTGTAAACTAAACCTATTTTTATTAGTTCAATGGAATCGTCTGCGTACATCACTTCTGTAAATATAAACATAGCTTTGAAATTTTTGTGTAATAGTATACATTTAACTATCTGCAAATTTTTCGATTATTTGATATGCAAACACATTTGCACGATGCTTGTTAATAAATTAAATCCTTTCATTTGTATCTTTGCTACATATGCACATTTGAAATTTATATTCACAATTAAAAATGTTTCTTTTTTCCTGAGGTTATGCTGCACCCATAATTGAATAAAATGGAAATATCTATCAAATTATTATAGGGTATTTAACGCATAATAAACTCTTTTCTCCCTTATTCTTACAGCAACCTGAAGAAATGGATTTAATTTCTACTGGTAAGTTCTGCATTTATGTTTTGAATTTCAAAAAATTTCCCGGACATCAGTTGATTGAGCTGGTAATCATGATCAGTTAGGTCTCATTTAGGATCCCTGCTGAAACACCAAGATCACAATACCATGTGCTATATTGATATCACTCTTAACTCAGCAATTCGAACTAAAGGATTACGTTGGTCACCACTCGTTCGCTATACTATGCACAAGTCAATTGTTGACTTTCCATTAAAAAAGTATTTAGAATAGTTTTATTCGCAAACTAATATAAGCTAAACTACAGACCGATTCTAATTAAAACCCTCAGACAAAATTTAGTCGTCAGTAGGTTATTAACCAGATGTGATTAATGTAGAGCTTTCAACTGGTTGACAAGAAGTCAGGACAATGTATTTCTAAGTGATTTTTTAGTCAAACACCGAATCTCTTTATTTTAGTACAGTTGATAATAGTATGCGATTTCAAGCTCTTACAAGAATTACTTTATTTCAGCATGTAAATGACTATTAACTGATACATTCTAAGTGACTTTAAAATGTCATCCAATGTAATTACCAAGTATTAAATACAGTGACAGTTACATACCTACACAATAATGTCATGCTAAATGAATTGTAAACATTAAAAGTTTAAATAAAATCACTAAAATAACAATTTTCTCCAGAATAGTTTAGTTTCTAAACGTTTATACACAAACTTATGGAAACTTATTGTTGTAACGTGTGACCTGCAGGTTATGTTGCGCAGCGTTATATCGATCGATTACAGTAGACACGTAACACGTAGTGGACGACCTAGTGCCCTGATTGGCCCTGCTTCGCTGTCTGTCCTAGCCAGTTGAGTCAAGAACACAAGTCACAGCCTCTGAGTTATGAATCATTATATTTCAAACATACTTTGTTTATATACCAATCAAGCATACCACATCGTCCATAAAATAGAAAACAACATTTTGTACAATATTCAACTAGTGAACAGATATCGACCAATAGGAAATGTCCATTTAAAGTCCAAGGACACCATTGGACTTAACATGATAATTATTGGTATATTTTTCCGACTATCCTAACACTTATATAGTACATTAAACTGTTACTTGAAGATTACCTCAAAAGTTAGTCTTTACAATTAGTATAAGACAGAATGTGATTGCAAGATAATATGAAAACGAAATTCCTCTAGCTTTGAAAAGCATCGATAATTTATCCAAAATAAAATAGAATTTAAGGATACCTTAAAGACTGAAATATTCGTGCTACGAAAATCTCAGAGCTATAAAATCTCTATGGGAAACAGTTAACATTAAAAATGTGGCCGTTGTATGTAATAGATCATATTGGAAAAGAAGCAAATATTAAAATAATGAATTCAGTGGCATAAAATACTTGAAACCGGTGATCCTTTAAAACATAAAACATAAGTTATACACAGAGATACTAAAAAGAAACTACTTTACACTTAAAAGTTTGTTGGAAATGAGTGAATAAATAGAATCCTAAGCTTTCGTTAAACTCATTAGTTGTTAATATATCTTACCGTCAATAAATTACAGTTAGTTTTTTATATACCCGCTACTAAGTTTTGTATCATAAACGACCTCATTATGTATAGGTTGAAATTTATTATTTCTGTTGCATTTCGGTCATGTATCAGATTTAAACAATCATGTACGTTTATGTTTAATAATACAAAGTAAACAGGGCTAGTTTTTCTAATATTCTGAGTGAATATTAGTGATACAAGAATTTATTTAGACCAATCAGAGTTAGCTATGATCATCTGCATTATTCGTTTTCAAAACAAAATCAATCAGTTTACAAAATTATCACCCATAACTTAGTTCAAAATTAAGAAAATGGGGAAACAGAACACTGAAAAGTCTGGTTTGATTAAAGATTATTGATGATGTAACTAAAACAGATTTATGACGCTAGGACAAAGTAAGAAAGTAATGACAAACGATATACAAGGTAGATTCAAACTTGAAAATAACGATCATAGTCAGTTACTCAGTACTCTATTCAGTCTAAAAACCGCTAATGGAGCGAAAAAACTGCTCCTATGTGATATAAGTTATAGCTTTCTTGTCATTACCAGGGGAATTAACTTGAACGTGAAACGTAAAGATCCTGGCAGTAAACAATTCCTTTTCCCTTCTTATAAATATATATATACAGGGTGTTTAGTTACACTCAAGAGTATGGAAATTCTCTTAGATGTAAAAATTTACTACTTACTTTCACATTACCTCGTTATAATGGTGTGAAAATTCCTTTTTCAATGTTCAATGATTAGATTTTGCAATGCTATCACAGCAAGTAAATGCAATTAGTTAACTTGCATAAAACACAACAGCGTTTATAGATATATATCTTAAAGAAATTATAAATGTTAATTTGTTTGGACAGTTTGTGATGTGATTGATTTCTTGTCACAATTTTGTTTGTCATTCTCCTGTAACTGACTTTTAGTAATTAAGTAAAATTTGCAATACTTGGTTTCAGTTTACCTGAACGAAGATTCCTACATAACTGATTCGGGAATATGTGATTTGACAAACAAGATTTATGAAAATCCAGTTTCACTCGTTCCGATATAATTTTTCACTTGAGGTTAACAAGTTCATCTAACCTTTTAGTAATTTGTGTAAGGAGTCTTCTTTTCAGAAATCTAAAACAATTAGTCCCTTTGATAAATTTCGATAATGCTATTAGAAGACGAAAGTTATCTTTGCTACGGCTTACCTTTAACCTGTCTAGTTGATCTTTTAGTTTTCATATAAAAATGTCTTAACAAGTGTATGTGTGATCAGATTGTTCAAAATGCATTGTGCAAATATATCACATAATTCCGATAACCTTCGTTTTCTTATTGCATTATCGAAGTTAAGTAAAAGCCGATACAATCTTTTAATGAACTAATGATTGTTTTTTGACCCTTTTCATAGATAAAGTCGAAAAAGTAAGTCAATGTTCAATATTTTCAAATTAATCAAATTAAGAGGTATTTTGTTTGTAATGTTTTATCAAAAATTTAAAGTACTTCTATAGATAATGAAGACGATGTTTCCAAATATTTATTTTCGTTTTAGATAACGAACGGCAGCTCATGTGAATGTATCGAAGATTTATTCCGACGAGTAAGACTTTTTTTAACAATATAGATCTGATTTGATGGAATTAATTCTTAACGTCTCGATACTAATCTAAGCCTTACCATCAATACTATTGTACAATAATTAAACAATAAATGTTCACTCTTACAGTAAAATGTTTATAATTTAAATTCTAATTATATATAATATTTCAAATAATCTTTTTTTCAAATTTATAAACAGTTTCTACTAACCTAAATGCAGTTCCGAATGTATTCCTCACCGTTTTTATTACTGTTGAGAAGAATCCGATACAAGAAAAGCATTCATAATGACTTTTCAAGTTTGACTTCATAGTTTAAAATAAATTGAGCATTAAGTGTGTTGTTTATGCTGGTAAAGTGATATATCTACAAAACTTCAATGAGTGGAAAATTAAATTTTTCACGTTTCGCAACTTATTGTGTCGTGTTTTTTTTTAGTGAACAAACAAATCACTAACTTAACACGATTTCAAATAGTAAAGAGCAATAACGTAGAATACTTAATACAACAAAAGTAAATTTGATCAAGTGAATGTCATGTCACTTCAGTCAATGCGATTCTGTGTGACATTATTATGTGTATTTGTAAAACAGAATGATATATTGTTAAAATCTATTCGAATGAAATGTCATGGATTGGCATAGTAGTTTTACCGTACAGTCATGGCACAACAGAAGGATTGTGATTTGCCCCGAAACTGGAGAGAACAAAATCCCTCAGTAAAGAAAAACACTTCAGAATCTTTTAAAATGAATAAAGAAAAGGATCCCTTTCATGTTTACACAAAATCGCGTCTACGAACAAGAATGTGTAGACTGTGACCCATCCTATATTGGAGTCTTCTCGTGAAATCTCGGCCTGTGCAAAGGAACGCTTAAGCTACACAATGAGACATAATAATTCTGTAGAGTAAGAAAATCTACAATTCAGATCGGCAATACCAGTGCATGTTATTTTCAACAACCATCAAATGGATATTAAAAATATTCAAATAATTCAGAAAGGCTTTTCTAACCATAAAGAAAGGATTCTGTGGAGCTGTTTAAATAATGTTTAATATTACGGTGGTTAATAGAAAGGAAGGTATAACTACACATAGAACTTCGACCATTTATCCAAATAACCACACTCAATTCTGTACACAAGCATGCAAATTTTTAAATCCACTTCCCCACATTACAAAAAGAACATTTTTTACACCCACTAGCGTACATACAAATACACACGATTTCTCATACAGAATCACCTTAACTGAAACGAGATGTCATCAACATGATCAAGTCTACTTTTGTCGTATTAAGTATTCTGCGTTATTGCTCTTTGCTATTTGAAATCGTGTCAAGTCAGTGATTTATTTATTCACTGAAAAAACGACACAATAAGCTGAAAAACGTCAGAAATTCCATTTTTTATTCATCAGGATTTTATAATCTCATATTAGTCATAACGACCGTTTGTATAGCTGATTTTTTAGTATGAGTACGCGCACGTAACTGCTTGGGATAAAGTAATTTCCAAAACAAAACCATCGTTGATACATGTCTCAATGGATTTGATTTGTGACTGGTTAGACGAGTCATTTAATACAATAGGTATAGTTGTATTTCACAATTTCATGTAACGACCAGACACACTAGCCAATTATAAAAGTAATGACGAATTCAGTTCAGCATTTGAGTTTAATATCTCCATCACTAGAGAATCAGAACGTCAATAATCCCAGAAATGCGGTAAAATATAAGACGTGTCAGTCCGCTACATTTATGATTTTATTTTAAGCAATAATCTACCAACAAATTCTATCTCATATTAGTTTCAATACAGGCATTTAAGCCTAGACTTCTTGTACTGGACTATTCAGTAACCCCAGTCCGAGAAATACCTGATTCACTATGTAACAAAACAGGTTGCTATTTGACTTCAAACCAAGTCATCATAGTCTTAGTAAACAGCTTTATTTTGAATAAATCACTACATTACCTACTTTTAATGCATATAAAGTAAACATTCTCCACAGATAGCTTCTGAATTAAGAAACTAGTCTTCAACCACCGGAGATTTACCTTTACAACTAACTAGATAATGAAAAGATGACAATGAGATTGTATGTAAAAACCAATAATTACTGTCGATAGGATAAAAGTTATACTTTAAACTAATAATAGTACGCTGCAAAAACTTGTTAGGTATTTAAAATAAGTATGAGGGCAAGACACATCGGATACCGCACATTTGAAATAAACTAACTTTTAATAAATAATCGGATTTCATAAGTTTACGAATAGTAAATATATGAATTTCAGATGATTTCATTTTGAAACGTACTAAAGAGTTACTCAGAGTTACTCAATATTTTTATGATAATCTAATAGTGTAAGTTATCTTATTTACCTTTCACCGAACTCTATAACCAAACTTATTTCGTTATACTTTCCTAGTATACTGGTGATAAACCGCAGTACAAAATTGTATATAAAATCACAAGTTCATGGCAGTTTAGCTAAACATACATTTTAAATAATGTTTTAATAACTAATAACATATTTAAAAGATATCTTATATCTGCCAGGTATCTCTCCTATAATATGCATTGAACTGTGTCGTAAAATATCACAGATGGAAAAAAACTTAAAAAATCAGCACATAATATATAGCAGTACCAATATATATCACATTTCTTGATCATCTAAAATTATAGTTCAATAATAACCTTAGCGTTTTCTGGTGATAAAGTAAATCTAACAGGTGTCTGTTGAACGGCTAACCTAGCAAATAATGCTGATGATAAAATAAAGCGTTACTGTTAGGCATAAGATTAGTCTGTATTGAAAAAAACTGAGTAGAAACACGATGAAACCGTAACACTTAATGATGCTTTAAATCATGAAACAATATTGATGAGACAAATGTTGAAGCTCGTGAAGAGAATGACTACTGTTTTCAAACTTATCATCTGGTTGTAGCCGTAGCCTCTTAAAGAAACCTATAACATGAGTCAATTATAAAATAATATATTATCCTAAGAAATATATACAACGATGACTAGTGATCTGTAGGGGTCCAAGTCCTATCTTACATCAAGTCCAATCTTCGGTTACGTAATTGTAAGTATGCACTTAACTATAGTCCTAACTAATAGCATGACACAACTCAGTATATGTTTGATGTAAAATGGCATTTACGTGACTACAGAAAATGGTCGCCCAACTGGTTAACTAAGAACAAGACTGGTGGGGACACATATCTGTTCAACATACATTGAAAGGGGCTTGTACAGAACGCACCAATATTCATTGAATACAAGTCAAATACACGTAAATCCATCAGTTACTCGAACACAAGGTGGATTTTATGATATTAGATTGATCATCGGTCTGACCTACATCTATTTTACTCATACGGCTGAGTACCAATAAATTGTAATCCTTCTGTATTTGATGATGCACCAACATGTAACGAACGTTGTCATAATAACTAAATCTTAGTAAATACTTTTACTGTTAATGATCAAGGTCTACTTGTTGTTGATATTACCTCAAGTACGTGTGTTTGATCTACTTATCAAACAAATTGAGGAAAAAGAATGTATTCTTGTTAGGATGTGCAGAAAAATATACCAATAATTATCATGTTAAGTCTAATGGTGTCCTTGGACTTTAAATGGATATTTCCTATTGGTCAATGTTTACTTCACTTGTTAAATATTGTACAAATATTGTTTTCTATTTTTATGGTACGATGTGGTTTGTTTGATTGATATATAAACAGAGTATGTTTAAAATATAACGATTCATGACTCAGAGGCTTAGGCTTGCGTTCTGGACTCGACTGGCTGGGATAGGCAGCGAAGCAGGGCCAATCTAGACTCTAGGTCGTTCTTACGGGTTCAACGTGACATTGATCCGATCAATAGTACGCTGCTTATCTAAATCTGTAATCCACACGTCACAACAATTCTTTAGAATTGAGTCATGCAGATGAACGAGACAGATAAACAAAAATACATTATAATCCGAGACAAATCCATACAGATTCAAATTATTCTATTTGAAAAAGGGGAAAAGGTAAGAAAGCTAATGACACCAACACTAATGAAGTTTTAACAAGAGAAATATATAAAACAGAAACAAGCAAGAATGATGAGTAAGACAAATAGGTTAATAATTCTTTACAGATTTACTGCAAAACAATATATATGTGTAACGGTACTGGATATTAATTTAAGTCTTTAGTTACAGGATTCTCTTTCTTTCGTTGCGAATTTAAACATCGTATTCAAATAAAATCGGAATAATTTTACATACACCTAAAACTATTTTCCAAATAGATAAAAGTATCCAAGAATGAATAACTAGTTTGGACTATATCTTATTTTCCATAAGAAATTTGACAACACCACGTCTTCAGTGATTTGTTTCTAGAATGATATGAACTTTAATTTTAAAGAAGAACCACATACTTTCATTCAATGGAAAACAAAAATTTAGGAAAATATTGACATCATAAAATATGATCGTCGGTTTCTATCCAAATTGTGACGAAATACCATTGGTTATCAGAAATGACAATTTCTACATTAAATTTTAGTGATATGTGTAGCAACTAGAAAATCGACTGTTAAAAATATTAATTCACAATCGTACTAGAAACATTTAACTAATACAAAATGCTTAGACTGATAGTTTTTTCTTTGGATACGACTAGTAAGTCAAACAGAAAGTTATGTGTAATAATTAACTTCTGTAAGGTGTCACCTTGTAGTAGTATTTTCTAGTTATAATGAAATGATTTAAGTTAGCATGCATAAAAATTCAATCGTTTTTTTTAAAAAAAAATTCTACATACTTTTTTTTCCAGGGTCTTTTGAGATTGAAAGGAGAAAAGGTAAGTGATTATACTTTGGATATGAAAAACTGTCACTCTAAATTAAATCTAGTTGAAGACATATAGATCCACATACAGTTTGACAGAAGGATGTTGTGACGATATCAATCGTTTTTCATCTGCTTAATAATCGTACTGGTGATTATAAAAACAATCCCAGTCAAAATAGGCTAACAAACTCAAGAATTGATTTACATGAGGGCGTAAGCATAACCTTGAAAATAGAACTCTAGCCACATAGTTTATCGATCGTCAAATCCACCACAGAAGAACTGACCAATTGGGAAGAAATGCATGAATGGAAATTTGACCTTATCATTAAGTGGTCCACCAATCAAATCAACTGGAAAATCTATTGAACGAACTCATTTGCAAGACTTCATGATTTTCACCCAACCGTTTAAATTGAGTCTAAGTTAACAAAACAACTGATCAGGTGATAGGGAAAACAGTTGATGCACCGGTTCATACTACTGAACGTAACTAGTTAGGGTTTTCATTGCTCATACTTTTAGAGGCTAATGGGTTTCCTCGCCTAAACAAAAAAACCATTACACCATTTCCAGTTCGATGACATCCCTCTAAGTTAATATCGAGCAACATAAATTAATTGAAATCAAGCCAAATTATTGAGCTTTAGAGAAATCATTAGTTATGGAGTGATAGTATTAATTTGTAATGATATAAAATTGCATAAATCCCTAGATTTAATTCATGTTTCCTATCGGTATAATAATCTCATGACTACTCTTGATTTAATTGCATTGAGTCTGATGTATTTTATGAGATACAGTGTCGAGCGAGAGCTTACAGCTTTATGTTTGAACTTGTATATTCGAAGTAAGACCATAGGAATTATGACCTCTTTTATATGACTGAAAGGACTGAAGTAATGTAGTAGTGTGTTGTTGAGCTCTTGAGACAGGAATCACAGTCGATATTTACAAATCAACAATCATTGCGTTATTCAAATAGGATCTAGTCTACAATAGTTCATTGTCTCTCATCATACAAAACACGAGTAAGTAATGACAGTTGGGATTGAATAATATCAGAGGGTCAGGGATTTCTGAATAAATTTGTTTACTAAGGAAACTTATTATTATTATTATTATTTCAACACATAGATATTGGTACAAAAAGGGGGCACCAAATACATATGCGCTACACAAATATCATTCGATATGTGTGAGGGCTGTAATACTGTCCAGGTGCCCAAACCGAAGCAGGTGGTTTTCTTAGAGAGCAACACCCCGAGCCTTCGACCTGAAGGTCTGATCCACAAGGCAGTGGAGCATCGTAAGGAGATGCAGTCCCATGGAAGCCGATGACCAACAATTGGTTCATACGCCATTTGTCCCCGCAGGATACTGGAGCCCATATGCACCATTGATTTGGTTTGGGATCCGGTTAAAGCGCCGGACATTCGCTTTTCGTCCTCCCATTTTCGTAGACAACACCCCCGCCACGAGAAGGCAGTGAGTAGGACTTCCCTGGCAGAGGCTATATACGCGTGGCCATGTGAGAGCATTTCGAGAGGGAGAGCACACTCTCCCCACTCTCGGCCACACCAGGGCATTTGGGGGCAACTTAACAAATGTTGCTATCAAGTGAGAGATTTAGATGTTCAGCATTTGACATTCCTTACTACAGGTAATTTCAGTAATGAGTTTCTATATTGAAAATCTACAAAACTCCTCAGAAATATGTCGTTTAGCTCTTCGGACTTTCTTTTCTAATGCGATATTTTATCTGCCGTTAATTTTACTGCGGAAAAAGCCTTGAGATAAAATTCACAAAGTTAAACATGTGAGTGAACTTGGACTACTCGAATAAATGTTGGCCGATCAGCTTCTCTGTCAAAATAAATATCAGCGATTAAAAGTATTAAATGACAGCTCGGAATTCATCCCAAGCACTTATCCATTCAAGACCGTCCCCACAGAAAACTGTTTAACTACGTCATAATATGCGATAGACTATCGCTGCTAGTAAACACTGCCAAAACGTCCGACCTTCAATTATTTAGATAATCTCAACTAACTGTAAAATGCATTTTGCAATCTATACGGATGACATCATTTTTGGTACGAATATATCTGATAAGTTCCATAAGACTTTTATCTGTTCTAAAGGGAATTGAACAAATATTATGCTCTCCATTATTATTTAAACGTTTTTCAATTTAGGTTTTCCTTTTCACTAAGATGAACCTTGAAGTGGTTTCATAATATTTAGACAATAAAATCCACAGTACACTTGTCAACTATATTTCAAACTATTCAATTGAGTGATGAATGTTTATGAATAAGAACTTTCGTCTAAATTTGAACGAATAGTTTCACAATATTTGGGCGCCGAGTTAATGTGAGACATTAAAGAGGAAGAATATATATTTGAAAAAATCTCAGCGAATGAAACGTTGGATTTACTTAAAATTCATTCGCTGAGATTTTTCAAATATATATATGTTTTTATTGAGGTATCGCCCGATTTCATCACAAATTACATTTAAGTACAATGTTATTTTATCTATCGAATGTACATGAGTTCTGCTAGTAGGTTTACTTCTTAATCGATTAAATTATCCAATTATTTAATTGATCAGAATTTATTACTGTTTATTATATTTTTAGGGAGATCGTGGTGATGCAGGACCTATGGTATGTAAATTAACTTTTAAAAAATATTTATTTGAGAAATAATAGTTTTCTGTGGTCACAACTTTGGTGAATAAAGTAAAAACTTACTGTGTTTAAACCTTCATTAATAAACAGCCACATTTAATCAATCAATATGAATTAATATGACTGACAGTATTTTCTTAATAATTACGGGAACAATAAAAGTTGACTGGTGTTATTCTGTTATCTTCATATTTCCTTTTTTGTAAAATAAAGTAAATATTTAACACAAAATACCGAACATGATTAAAAGTTTTTTAAAATATTCTTTACAAATTCACTTGAAGGGTTTTGTGAAGATGTGTTTGATTTGATATCAGTCAGTAATCAAGGAAGATTGGACTAGTGTTTCGTCCTAGTGTAGAACTCTTCATCAATGCTCCACTACAACCCTCTTCAGAGATTGGATTTGAGACCAGATGATATCAAGCTGTAGAGAATACAACCTACAGCTTTTCCAAAACTATAGTATGAACGTATTTCTGCGTCTCTCATTTACTAATTAAGTAATGACTTAACTATCACCTTTTATTTTTAGCACCTATATCAGATTATCAGTTCTCACATTTTCAGCTTATTTTCGATAATAAATTCTTCAATCCCTTGGAATTTATTAGTTGTTTTCATGACTAGAACACTAAAACTTTGAGAATTATTTACTTTAAATTTAGTGTATGGAAATGAACATTTAACAACTGGTACCATATGTGTACATCCACATGACAAGTGTTACAATAAAAACAATCAAAAATACGACTATAAACCGTAATAGTAATAATCTACTTAAACAAAGTTTTCAATTTAATGTACGATTTTTAGGATATTGGCATTTGTGCATTGAATCATATGAATTAAAAAATAATACATAAATTAAATTATTCTACTTACATTACCAGAAAACAATCTAATGCATAACTTTTCAAACATAGAATAGGTAAAAGTTATTAAGGAATAACTGACCGTGAAAGATGTTTTTCAAAAGTATTCGAATCGACAATAGCAAATTACATCTGATGGTTGAATATATGCAATAAAACAAAACACAACATATGATGTATATTTCGTGCTTATCGATATCCATAACAAGAAAATCACTGTAGCCTTCCTAGAAATCGATACTTCATGGTATATACCAGTTCAGATTGTAGTTAAAGGATTTATCCCTGTAATGTTTATACCATTACAGGATAACCATTTTTTTAAAAGATGAATTCATGTAATTTAAGGAAATACAATAGTTATCAATGCGTTATTTAGAAATATAACCAGAACTATGTGTTTAAAACATTTTCAAGATTATGGTCAGTTATGAAAAATTCAGATGATAAGATGTTAATAGATAGGATTGAATAATAACAATTCTTATTAGATATTTAGTCACTGATCAAAACATCAGACACGACATTTTTCAATGCATCTATAAAGGTTAATGAGTACATAACATAGAATTCAAAAGAAAAACTTAAATAAATTCCAAGTATTTAAAAGTTAAATAAGGCTTCCTTAACGAACTTTGACTTTGTAAAACTATTTAAATACTAACAAAACTTAGGAATTATAGCAAAGGATGACTAATGACTTTCACTAAATGATTTCAGTAGGTTGTTTGCAAGGGAGATCAACGACAGTAGTGATGACACAACCTCGTTTTTATATGGTGAAACAATGTCCCATTTATTAAACAATGGCAGCTAATGAACTCGTCAAAATAGTATGAAATTTTTAAATAAAACTATCATTGTGTACAGTCCAATTCAGTTAAAACATTCGGTCTCGAGAAATTGTTCACCTTGATTAGACATTATAGAGAAAACAACACAGTGTGGGGAGTGTTTTCGATAATTATTGAACTAAGAAATCCCAATGCATATGCATCTTTTAAACAAATAGACCGACACCAAAATCGATACCTCAGTGATAACCTTTGTTTATAGAAATCATCCACTGACGCATCACTATCTCTCTCACGTTTACCTATAACTTACTATTCAACCTTAAAACACTATATAACTCTACTGTTATGGTCAGAACACTAAAAACAATTGATAAGTTCGTTGATACCAATGCCTATCACAAAACATTTCACTTTTTAAAATAACGAGAATAATATCTACAATTAATCTTCTGAGTTAATTAAGAAGTAAAATGACTATGATAAAATAGACAAATTAGTGATGAGAGCTACAAACCTAACTGTATCACTGAAAAAGTTCACAGATTAAACTTTAATATAAATAATTTATAGAATTTTCAGTAATCTTACATGTAATTCACATAATTTCAGTATTGAAATGTGTTTGATATAAAAATATTGTAAAATAATAAAATAAAATCTACTGTATCCGAAGATTTTGACTAAGTTACACTTTTTGAATTGTTTTTGATAGCCTTACATAAAAACGTATCTTGAATACTATTAAGTTTAATACAAGTAATGAGGCTTTTAAGTACAGCATTAAATCAAAAGGATTTACCAATAGGAAATAATCAAAATGGATGTCGGTCAATCGGTTTGTAGGTTAAACATTCTTGAGGGTTCGACTCTTGGGAACGAGGTTTGGATGCTCATTTCTGGTGAATTTCATACTAAGGCAAAACGGCTATCCAGGGCCTCCAGGTTTTCTATGGTTTTCTAGTTTAGATTGGTTCACGATTTCAATGAAAATGTTCAAAAGTGAGAACAATCTATTTTCAAGGCTTTTATCAATTTGCCTTACGGTTATTTTTAGTTGCTGATTGATCAAGGCTACAGTTGATTTTTACAATGGATTATCACAGTAATTGGTATTCATATCAAAATAAAATCAATAGGGCTCATGATCCATTTGGATAAAATCTTATTACTTCTCTGATGAAATGTATTTGGAATAAGTCATTATACTTAGAACTTGTTTAAAATTTGAAGAACCATGCTGAAAAACATGACCGTAACTTCTAAAAATCAAAACTGTAAAAAGAAAACCTAATTTTAAGGTTAAAAAAGCATCACTTAGTAGTATATATATATATAATTCAGACAAACAATACTCGTGACTTTATTATGATGACATCCATCCTATTTCATTTTAGTACTGATTTCACAAAATACATCAAGTAATTTGACTGATTGTCATAACCAAAGATAATTTGTTAATTTATTATTTCTAAAATCCTTCTTTTGTAAAAATGCTGATAATCAAAGTAACACATCTGCTGATCAGATAAGAAATTGTTAGTTGATTTTCCTAATGAAACATAAAGTTGTATGGTTAATAATCATGACTTCTGTTTACACACATAGGTATTCAATAGACTGGACACAATAGTAATATTATATAAAAAGATTATTATTGATTTTTGTTAGTTTATTAGGTTCTTCTATTGCATTCTTTAAAATATTCATTAGATCTTAATGTTAGGTAATTGGTGATAGTCGGGAGGAAATTTTGTGTGTAGATTCCGTGTTAGTTGACACTTGTCACCGAGGTATATGTGGGATATTGAAGGAATTGTTGCTAGATCTGGGTTTAATACGTATATCACCTAGTGCAGCAACCTGAGATATTGCCACCAAACGTTTTGGTTGAGAAATTGATCACTGCGCAGTAACTTGTTTGCCGATTGGCCACTAGTGAACAAAATTTATTCACCACTAGTAGCTAGATGAACACGACATTGTCTAACACTTGATGACTCGTGAGCCTAATTACCTATGTCCATTTTCAATTCTATTTTCTAAGACGTTGTTATTAATTATTCATTTATTTATTAATAAATGTGATAAAGATTTATAAAAAAAAATCCAGTGATTTGTCTTGTGTTCCGCAGTTACACAAGATCTACCATTACCTCTGTTCAAAATGTCTTTCTAAAGCTTGACCAAACAATATTCAGTAGTAATCATCTCAATTACATATGACAGGAAAATATATTTGCTGTTAGCATATGACATTGTTTAATGTTCAAAATTTGAATTATTATCAAGAACTTGTATTAGCTAGATGGCCATTAAAAACTAGAAAGCATTAGTCAGTCGATTTATCTTTGCCTGGAACTCGCTTTTCATCAGTATCCATTCACTTATTCTCAGTGAATCAAATTCACACTAGTCGATCATTTTGCAAGGTACTTTTACATCATTAGATCTAAAACGAACGTCCAATATATTTCCAACTTCAGTTTATTGTATCGTAGTTATTCGATGTTATCAAAGACGTCTATTTCACTCATCACATTATGTTTCCTGGTTAGCGTCTTTTTAGCGAGTCAGTTTTTTGCGGGGTGGTGTCGCTAACCCCATCTCCAACCACCCTCCTTTGTCCGGGCTTGGGACTGGTAGTAACCCCAGAGGGGCTCAAAGCGGAGCTAAACATTACATATCAGAGTCTAACCAGAAATTTAGACATACAACCCCAAGATTTTTTTCCACTAAGTATATGTTATTTATAATAATGTAGTTTATGCAAAAAAGTTAACTAAAAAGTTTTATCTTACATTAATATTTGCTTTAAAAAGTCTTAAATTAGAACTAAACACCCCAAATTGTAGAACGACATAGTGCCAAGAAAACATCATATTTGGATTAGTAACTTATTAAGTTTTTTTCAATCAGTTTCAATAGTAATTTACTCTAATTTTATTGTTTTCACATGCATGACGCGTAAAGTTATCTGACTATTTGTGCTACGTAGCTTCGGAGTTGGTGGAACAGTGTAATACTTAGTGATTCGTTTTTTTTAAATTTAAACTATAAAAGCGGAAGCTCACAAATGTCTTGTCATTTGGCCTTGTTTACTGAAATAATTACACACAAGTTTTCTTCAAATAATTGTGTGATCAACAAACAATATGCTGAAGGACATTTTCAATATAAACTCATATCTGTAGGTATCATTACCAAGGCTTGACTTAATTTCAAATAAATTGAGCATTGAGCAGATTGTTATAAATAAAAATAATATATCTGTAATATCCCAGTGAGTAGAAAAATTAGATTTCCTGACGCTTCATGCCTCAGTGTAAGCCATTTTACTGGAGAATAAATAAACGATTTAATTTGGTATGACTTACACTTACAAATATAATATTTTTATTTATAAACTTATATCGACTGAAAAACCATTAAAAAATAGGAACACTACAAAACTGTCTCATCCTTTCCAAGGTTTACCTACATACTCTCACACCAAATTAAATTTTATACCTTCAAATCTTACAGTGAACAAAATACCTTAAAACATGTAAGTAAGAGTTTAGTGGCTTACTAGTTGATTTATAATGAAAATGATTTTCAAATTAAACTAGGCCATTATTGAATTATGAAACCTAGCAAAAATAGTATGTTGTTTCTCTACAACTTCAATGAACAAAATAACTGACATATCAACTGTTTTCTCTTTATGAACAATCAAGAGGTTGATATTTAGTTGGTAGTTTTTTAAATTAGATACGTTTAAAGCGTGCAATAATTGTACATCGTCGCAGATAAATAATAATCTGCAGTTTTTCCTTATCTGATTCTTACCAATTAAAACAATACCATACACAGGATATATTTTCCAGCTGCTCGTTTTTACGTCTGTAAACAAGTTTGCTTTTGATTTTATTCATTGTTCTCGTTTCTTTATCATAAAAAGGGACCTGAAGGACCCCCTGGAACCTGTCCTGCAACTTGTGGATCGAATCTATCGACTGTTATACAAGTAAACAAATTTTCTATATATGTGTTATTTCTAGTTCATGAGTTATTATCAATTCATCTGTTTAAAAATAGTCTTGATTGACAGTGAAAATTTATATGTAGATGGCCAATGAAGCTGAAATAAAATTCAAGTAACAGTTACACTTAAATCAAAAGCTTCTACACTACTTGTCCGGAACACTATTATCCAAAGTTGGATGACTAACAGTTAACCAGATTTGAATCTCTTCGTCATGTAACAGACTGGTTATTCAGAATGTGTTAGTTTAAACCCCACCTTCATTCAATTAGAACGATCATCCTTGTGTAAGAACAAAATTATTTTTTGAAAAAACTGTTCTAAACAGCTAAATGATTGAAAAGAAATATTATACTTTTTTTCCCTGTAAATAGCCTGTATTAAAGACAAGTAGTCTATATGTAAATGGAGTATTTTCCTTAAAGATTGGCCCATTGTATTTTCGATTTATTTCATCTTTTACATTTTAAAATCATCAAATGATGGGACAGAACATATTTGAATTAACGCTAATTTTATAAAGACTACCAGCTGTATATACGATTTTGTTTTGAAACAAAATCATTTGTTCATTTTTAAATTACAAAAAGATTATCGTCTTTTCTTCACAAACATTTACTTGTTCCACCAGATACTTATTAATGATAATAATAAACATTAGATCCAAATGTTTCACCTGTTCAGTGATGAGGTTTTACTATAAATCTAAAGCATAGTCCCAAACGACCTTAAAGTATCAGTACTTACAGCCAATCAGAAGGCGTCGAAGATAATCCGATGAATTGTTATCCGAGGAATCGTGATTAAAATGTTATTAGGATTTCTGCATTATAGCTTATGTCAGTTTGTGATTGAAACTGTAACCTCAGTCTCTGATTCTAACTCGTAACTCTAATTCCTACCCTAATTCAATATAAGTGCCAAAACTTTTCTCCGTTCGACAGTATGATTTAGCTCTATCTTCATATATCCTACTTCATCAATTTTAGCACAGTGATTGTTATACAATTCAAACTATTACCTATGATATCATTTCGTTAGTGAACTATGTAAATTATTTAATGATGACAGTCAAAGAGTTGGTAAATTTTTACGTACTAAAAACTCACGCTTAGGATTTAACTGAATTTTACAAAATATTCTTGATGTTCATTTATTTTTTTTATTACAAACACCCCAAATAACTGCTAAATTTATTTGTCCATTCATAAACTCTATTTTGTTTTAATTTACCATTTTTTTCCAAAAAGTAAAAACTACTGAACTCAGTAAATTTAATGCTTCCTTTTTTCCATCGTTTTCTGTAGTTTATTTCCATATCTTTTCATAAATTCATAGGGACCTAAAGGTGATCCCGGTCCTCCTGGAGTTTGTACCATTGATCAATGCAAAGAAGCTGCAATACCCGGACCTCAAGGACCTCCAGGAGAAAAAGTAACTGATATATATATATATATATAAATACATATACATATTTATATAGTGTAATTTCAATTTCCGACAGAAAATTCTAATGCTTAGAGAATCATATAAAACACAAAAACCTGAGTTAACATTTTTTCAGAACTTTCATCTACTTCACAATTTGATTATTCATCTAATGAATATGTGAATTTTTATAGCTTAAAAAGTGATATCAGTTATCTGTATTGATGACTGTAATGAAATAAATGTTTTTTTATGCTAATGGGATTTATGTTTCGGTATTGAATGAGTTGGCATTTTAAAATAGAATATAAACCACTTTCTGTAGGAACTTTCATACTAAATAGCACATGAAGACAATTTCAAGAAGAGAGAAAAACAGATACTCACCATGATAACTCGGATTAAATTTCATTACATTAGTTTTCTTTTAATAAACCTGATAATTTCCTTATATTGATCTCTGTTGTTGAATTTGGGCTACATGTGTAAAATACCTGACATTTTGATTAGATCATATCTGATGGTTGGTAGTGTTTAAATTTCGAATGAGAGCTTTAATTAGTTTAGACTTTGTCAATCTATTGTATTTATGTTGTGTAAATGGTTAAATGATCATCTGCTATGGCACAGAATTAGTATAATCTTTGTTTTTCAAAGAAATAGCTTCTCGCTGTTTACTTTTGTAAAGCTGAACAGCCAAGTCTCCGTCGATATTATTACGTTTAATGTGTGGATGTCTCAATATGTGGAAACACAAGGTAAGTATACGATTTTGATTTTTCTTATATTCGCATCACAAAGAAAATCGATCACCATTGTAACTACATCTTCGCTGAAAAAAATAAAAATTTATACCTCAATGATTTAGTCACTGGCCTTATATCTTCAAGGTCATAGAACTGATCCACTCTACTTGTCGTTATCGGATTATATAATCATACACAGTGTATTATACTGTTAAGCTAATGGGATTTAAATTCTGCTGATTGCTCCAAGTGATTAACGTTATTAGTTTAATTAAAGAACACAACTTAATTTGTAGTTCCTTTGTTTTTATTAACATCTTTGTATATTAGCATAAATCAACACTTAGTTGATATATTGTTCATATCAAGAGAACTAATTAATAATCGTTTCTCATTCATATATCAATACATGTATACATACATATAAGCTAATTTATAAAAATTTTTATTGAAAAGGGAGAAAAAGGTGATCCAGGAGAAGTAGATCTTACAAATGATCAGTCGATTTCAGTTATTAAACAAGCCATTCACGATTTTATATTACAACCAGTAAGTAACTTTTTTTGATATTGGAAGTTTTTTTCTAGATTATTCCAAAATATTTAATAAGTTGTTTTAGGGACTTATTTAATATTTTGATCTTATCTACCCAATCACTTGCATTTTAATTCGACTCATTGGAACGGAGAATAATAGGAATCTAAACGTTACCTATGTATATATCGAAATCATAGACAGTTCTAGTGTACATGTGTAGAAGCACAAGCATTTATGTACTAGTTAAACAAAAATCTCTTAATATCTTCCATTTATCCAATTGAACAGTTTTATACAAGCATATGCTTACATAGATTGACTACATATTAGTCAGTTGGTTTGTCTGATAGTTTTGTATCATTGAAAAAACATTTGAAGTTTATTTTTAAAGGTGAATCCTTCTAACAATTAACCTAATAATTATTTAAATGATTGATACTCCTTATATATATATATATATATATATATATATATATATATATATATATATATATGTAAAGTTTGACACAAGTAAGCAACTGTTTACCGTTTAAATCTGAACATGTTAATATGTGATGTTTCCTACTGATATCAACTGTGATACCTGTGAAAATAAAGTCACTCTAAAATGTTTCTATCTGCCTGACCGTTTTGATTCTTGCAATTTAACAAACTATTGTTTATGTACAAATGAGAAAGATATATGATAATCGGTCTATATATCATCTCAGCACTTTACAATGAAATCCAAAAATGTTCATTTAACTAATCGATACAACGCAGTATAGTCAAAGTACAAATTTTATCATCAAATATATTGATATGATTTAGTGAACTCACGTTAAAATGTCTAGCTTGAAGTGAAATATCTTGTTCCAGGACATGTTTTCTACGAAAAAACTGGAAAATAAATCTCATATGGTTTTTAGAACTCACAAATTTGAATAAAGTAAAAACAATGATTGTAGCAGAATAATGTGAACTGGTCTATTTCTTGAGTCCTCTTCAGCTGCTTATAACCTAAAGACAATATTAACCGTTATTTAAGACCGGTGTCCATCCTTTATATCATATTGATGACACTTAGCAGAAAAGTAATAAATTTCAAAGAATTTTTAAAATGTTCTGACGGTTGAATTCATTTGAAAATTCTAGAAGAAAATTTTCTTTAACAAGTATAAATATGTTTCTAGAAAATGAGGATCGATATCAAAACTTCCATAGAAACAAACGTAAAATGACTTCATTAACAGAATAAACTGAATAAACTTCGAAAAATAATTCAAGAATAAAAAAAGGAACTTCATGACTGAATGCATAGATTAAGATACTACGCTATTAAATGCTGAAAATCAAAGTCATTATACAAGGGCAAGATCGATAATTGTATGCTTTTGACTGGACAAGTTCGCTTCCGACGTTCAGGTAGTGATAGCTATGAAAAAAGTACTACCGTTGAAATCTATGCGCATCCACGATCGTGCATGCGGGACCCAAACTTTGGACCTTTGGTCGCCCGCGCGAATGTTCAACCTATAGACCACTAAGCCGGTATCCATTGATGTTAATGTTCAACTTCAGTCAATCCACAGTCTTAATCTGTTTCTTACTTAACATGGATTGGACTCCATCGGTCACGGCTTTTCACTAAAACTCCAGGAGCTACATTCTTAAGTTAGTCGTTAGTATCCAGTCCTTCCAGGTTTTCAATAGTGATCTTATTTATTTACTCAAACACATAAACATCAGTACAAGGAGACATCTAGTATATTTGTGCCACACTTCATCATTTGATTTATGTGAGGGCTGGGATACTGCCTAGGCACTCAAACTGCAACAGGTGGTTTTCTTAGGTAGCCACTCCCCGAGACTTTGACCTAGAGGTCTAATCCACAAGTCATTGGAACAACGTTAGGAGATGCATATGTGTTCACAAAACCTGACAACCAAATTTTCTATAAATAATCTCATGCATTTTATGATATATGTGGTATAAGGCTAATAGCGGAACCCATGAAACTTGTTACATTCTGTCTAAAATTAATAACGTTGATGTTCACACTCAGACTCAGACATAGTATTTTTCGACTCAAAAACTCATTGCATTATCCTTTAGGATACTAGGTCTAAACATCCACTAATACATCCAATACTAATAAAAGTCCTTAATTACCCTCTGCACTGTTGATATTCAAAACTGCAATTAATTAGTTAGTAGACTGCCCAAATAAACATATGACTTATAACTCATAATTTTCCTTTTATTTCTTTATTTTATTTATCTATTCATGTTACCTCTTTCACTATTGAATTGTCTTTCTTTCTCTGTTCTTTTCAAAAAGGAAATTCAAAAACAATTTCGTGGTCCAAAAGGTGATCCAGGTGAATGTTCATGTTTAAGTGATGCAGCAGATAATTCTTCACCGAAAAAATATTCAAATAATGAATTAAATAATTCAAAAAATAATCATAATACTAATAGTAATAATAATGGTGAAATTTCAGGTTATGGTGTAAGTTATAGTTTGTTTTATTGATTCTATTACTTAAAATTATTCTTAAGAATACTTCCATTCATTAAATATGGATAATTATCTTTGGTATTTACACAAAAATATACATGTATAGCAATAATAAATGGAATTAAAATAAAATATGAATAACATAAAATTAAATTAGCTGTCAATCAGTTGGTGAATGACATAATGTTCAATTGATTGAGTAATGAATCTTGCTTGATCGCTTGAATTTTTTGTTGGTCGACTAGAACTTGATAAATTCTTATGAATAATTTAAGACAGATATTGATGAATCGATAATTAGTTATACAACATTGTATGTTAGGTAAGTTAATAAAACATCTACTGCTTAAAATAGGAAATAAGCACGTTTTCTATATGTTGAATTTTAATGATAAAGTATATACTTCAATAGAAGCTCAACTATATAGATTGAACAGAATAAAATGTTTCACATTCTAAATCTTCATATTTTAAAGTAACAATTACAATGAAAAATTAATAGAATTATTCATCAAAATATCATCTGAAGTAATCTTTACTTAAAATTCAATAGTTGCCATCAGATAAATTACAAAAAATGTTTATTTAAAACGTTATTCAAAAATCCACAGAAATTATACTGAAATGTGAGAACTGCTGGAATTAACCACAACTGACAGTTATATCTATGGTACTGACTGTCTGCAAAATCTGTGTGTTTAAAACAAATGGAAATGAGCATATCTTTCTGAAACTTGTCTTCATAGGTGATAAAACTGTTGGGAAGATGGATATTTTAGATTGAAGGCTACAATGTAAACGATGGGTCGAGTGGTCAAATTAACATATAACCACCATCACACTGATCGATTTTCATACTGGATTTTATTCTTTTGATCCTGTCATATCACATTCCTCGCCTAAAAATAAATCAGGCTGAAGGCGTTGGAATAGATACACATGACATTTCGTTTGAATTATATTCTCTATGTTCAGTTTCACAGTATTATTATCACCATCATTTCAACATTCTTTCTTTTAATCTTGTTAATTTGTCTTCATTATATTGACATACTGAGCAGTAAGTTAGTCTGATGATTATCTTCTCCAGATTATACTATGTTCATGCCTGAGAAGCTATCATTCATAACTCTTAGCGGTGACATTTCCAGTGGTACTGTTGATAGATGAAATCTGAACAGTTTCTAATTATTATTACCTATTAAAATTGTCTCTTACTAATTATATTACGAAGTTTATCGACTATTTTTGTTATCTTGACCTTAAAATTACTTAGTTACAAGTTGAATAGTTTAACAATATTATCTCTGATTGTCTCACTTCATGTCAAACACAAAATACTTTGTAGCCGTTGATCTGAGTGTACGAATGTTTGCTATCACCTTTTCTCGTATATCATCGTCGACTAAAATCGCGTTATCCAATAACGGAATTAAATAAGTCGAATAACGAGAATTGACTTGAGAATACGTATATTTCGTACATGAAGTGAATGAAGCATAGCAAAGCAAAAATGACGCGTATGGAAGATGGCTGGGAAGCCAACTCCATCTTTGTCAAGCGTTACTCAATATTTATAGTCAGACAAAATAAAGCTACAGACATGTGATTAATGGAATAAGAAGGGCACACACATATACGCTCATATAAAAACAGTCTAGATTGATAAGCGAATAAATAACAAGGTCAATGTATGGCTCAAGTAAAATGAATAGAATGGGATGTCCGAAAGCTTGAATAAGGTATATGGGCTTGGCATAATAACTGACACTACAACTTACACGACAACATTGTTTTACCTGGATTATTGATAAAACTACCTTTTTCATTAGATAAATACAATTACATTCGGTAATGAATACAATCAGTAGTTTCTTATCCGAAGCATTGAGAAGATTACCTGTATATATAAAGGAATGATAATTGTTTATTTATTTATGGGTATACTTTTAATTCTCTAGAAGATAAATTATCTTATATCATTTTAATAATCAAAATAATCATTATTACTATTCAACAATCTATTTTTATTTAAATTTTCATGATAAAAAGGCAATGGTCTTGAATACTGAAATGGATTTAAGCAAAGTATCACATACTTTTCCTGTTGGTACAATGGCTTATATTAAAGAAGCGGATACATTCTACTTAAAAACAATAGAACAAACTAATACATGGCGTATTATAAATTTGGCAAGTTTATTTATTTGATTCGAAAATTTAAGTGTATACATTTTAGACTGTATGAATGTTAATTATTACCCATTAATTACTGTAATTTAACAATTCATTCCAAGTTTTATTAATGATATTAAAAAAAAGAAATATGAATTGTACTAATGACTTGAATGTCTTAAAAGAAAACAAAAAATCAACATCACTGGTTAAAATCATGAGTCATTTGAAGCTAGACCACCATGGAAAACCTGGAAGTACTCGATGGCCGTTTCGTCCTAGTGTGGGACTCCTCATGATTTCAACCAGTGAAATTTCTAAAATCTCCACAAAACCCATTCTGATAAAAAAGAAACAGTCTAACAATTCTACCATTCAGTTTTAACGATAAGTAGTCTGTGCTCTGAACAATGATTTATATTTATATTTCTGATGTTTCGTAACTTAATATAAGCCACGTCTTCAGAGTAAATGTAACAGTAATATATTTTTTACTAACTTTCTATCAAATACTTTTTTTATTTGAAATTATCAAATCCAACCTTGACATTGACACTTGTGTGATTCTTTGAATTTTCTTATAAATTACAATTTTATAATATTGTAGTTGGGATAATGATAATGTTTATTGAGAAAATTATTCTTGTCATCTAACTGAAGATATATCATCTGTTAATCAATCTATTGTTTTATTACTTCCTTAACTATTTATGTCTGTTGTTGTTATCATATTATATCAGTAAATCTCATCGGTACTACTGTCCACTATAATTTGAAGTACTATATAAGTATTTATGGAAGAAACATATTGAGTGAATGTTTTTTTTTAAATTATCTTTGCATTATACTTCGTTCTGACTGAATTTGACATAAAATAATTTTTACTAAACGCCCAATAGATAACCTTATGAACGTTACCTAATTGGTTGTCCAAATTTATTTATTAGCTAACGGACTACTACTTGTTTCTGCAATCTTAGTCATACTAATATAGGTTTTTACATAGTGGTTATTTTGATTGTTTGATTGAAAACTGGTAAAATCTAATAACAATATTATTTACTGAGTCACAAAACCGGCCTAAAGGAAAAGTTAATATACTATGATTTCAATGAATGTATTAACTACTAAGTAACTTTGAATAATTACTTATCGATACACCTTACTTTAATTATTAGCTATCCATAAATTTTAAACTTGAGTAGTATTGATAAGGATATATATTAATCTACAAAGACCATTTGATTTTCATTTACCGATTCTATGAAAAATACCTAAACTGACAAAGTAGTCAATACACCAAGTAGCTGAATTTCCAGACAGAATATCAAAAAGCCAGGAGACTACTCAAAAGTACCTTCATCATTTTGGATCACAACTCAGAAAAATATGTTTTAGCTCTGTACAGAGTAATCACTTTATATATTAGATGGTTGAAGATAGTACACACACAAAGTGAATAGCAAGATTTTCCTATACAACACAAATCAAATCACATTTGACGGAGAAGCTTTGGAGGATGTAAAAGCCTTTACATATCTTATCAGCATCATTGGTGAACACAGTGAACATGGTGCAGATGTGAAGGTACGAATCGGCAAATCAATTGAAGAACATCTGGAGCTCAAAACAACTTTCAACCAACACCAAAGTCAGAATTTTCAATACAAATGTCAAGACAGTCCTGATGTATGGGACGGAAACTTGGAAAACTACGAAAACCATCATCCAGAAGATACAAGTGTTTATAACAGTTGTCTGATCCGTTGGCCAGAACTATCAGCGACAACCTACTGTGAGGAAGAACAAACCATATTTCAAAGGGAGAAGAAATCAGGAAGAAGCACTGGAAGTGGATGGGACACGCATTGAAGAAAGCACCCAACTGCGTCACAAGGCAAGCCCTCACTTGGAATCCTCAAGGCCAAAGGAGGTGAGGAAGACCAAAGAACACATTACGCCAAGAAATGGAGACAGACATGAGAAGAATGAACAAATATTGGGTAGAACTAGGAAGGAAGGCCCGGAGTAGAGTGAGTTGGAGAATGTTGGTCGGTGGCCTACGCTCCACTGGGAGTAACAGGTATAAGTAGGTTGAAAATAGTCGAAGATACTATGCTCGACCCATATTTCATGCTGATTGGTACTCGTTATCAAAGTATACCTGGAACCGTGAGGGAGCTGATGTTTACTGTAAAATTTAAACCTGGGTCATTCATCTTTACGGTTGTAGAAATTGCCGACGAGCCATTTGAGCCGCGTCTGAACTCCTGTGTAATAATGAAGTGTTTACAACCAGATCAATAGGATCCAGTCAGCATCAATGAACCAGACAAAAATAATATAGGTCACTACTCAGAGATCAGTTAATTGTACATTTATTTACATGAAGCTTAGTAACAAATTTTTAATTAGTTAATCATAATTAATGAACGATAAGAGATGTTTCAACAATTTATGAGTTAAAAGATAATTTACATTTAAGACTGTACACAAATATCACAAAACATATATTTTTGCAGTAAGAAAATATAAGCTTCCAATAATTCACTGTTAATACACTTTTCATCCAAAAAACTAATGTATGCCTGGTTAGAATCTCAAAGCATTGGTAACATCTCTTACTGTTTCAATTACTTGTAACTGATGATCATCGATCTACTTAAAATTTAAGCCATTGTGCTTCTTTATGCATGATTACTTTAGAGCAGCTATGAACGATTAACATTTATTCGTTATCTTAAAAGGGTATAAAAAAAGTTAGTCAAATAATCCCAGATAATAATCGTGGTTTAGTCTATGTTGGATAAATAAAAATGAGAAAGCTTTTATAGTCTTATTTTGCTCCATTCCTTAAATGTTATTCTCACTGAATAAATTGAATCAAATTTTAACAATAAAAATATGTATTTTTATGGCTTTTTCATTTTCATTTTCTCTTTTCTAGCTGTCGAAAGCAGATGCAATTAATTTACCAATTCCAAAACCAGTAAGTTATCGATGAATATTACATTTCATAATAATTTATATATTCTGAAAATAATAATTACAGAATTCACGCCGGTTTACAGGTATGATCAATTTGATATAAATAGTAACATTAGATGTACAGAACAAACATGTGATAGAAGAAAGTTTTAAGTATACTAGTTCAGTAATTGCTTAGGTAGTACATGTATTACAGCGATCCAATGCATCTGCCGGGAATTTTTAATATTTCTTAAATGGATAGCCTGAACGATGTAATTAAGGTCATTTCGTATGCCAGATCGAATTATTGATAATTATCTACAACTAGAGAAATTAGGACGAAAACAGAGAGCACGGAACAGCAAAGCAGTAATTACCAAAATATATTAATCAGGTCTACCAAAATGCGTGTATCATGTAACACAGTGATATACTGTTGATATTAATCAAACTAGTTAAACTAGCTGAGAACGGTGTTAACGTAAAGTGACAGCAAGTAAGTGACTGAGTTAAATCTGACTTCATAATGTGTGATTATTTTTCTTTTGCTGAAACTAAAGAATTACATTTCAGCAAATGGTGGTCCTTTCCCAATTCAAATAAGAAATATGATAGTAAAATCTGGAAAGTTTTGTAACCTAAGCAACGAATGTTAATCATCTAAATTAAATCAATTTGCATGATATAGTATCTTGGATATTTTTAAAAGTTATAGATTATACTTAAAATGCTCATTCAAATAGACGCGCTTATTAATTAATATCAACTAATTAAATGACATGCTTGATTTAAGTCTTGTTACCAGTTTAGAAATCATACAAAGATTAGTTCAGACAAAGTGAGAGCATACAACCGCCTCTCTCCATTGTATAATTTCAAAAGTTGTTTTAAGTAGGGTAGTTTAATCTTAGCATTCCTCTTCAATTTTGCTATCGATGAAATTCCTAAAACAGGAATAATGAAGTAGGTAGTGGTGATACAGATCTGTTAAATGAAGGTAGATTTTTTAATCCCGAGAATGTTTATGCTGTTGTGTTTCTGTGTAGTGACACTCAAACTAAGCAAATCCCGCACAATTGGTTGGGAATCAATGTCCGTTGAGATGTCATGTACTGTGCACCTTTTAAATGCCTATGCCTACACTCACTCTTTGTAACGAGCTATCGAAAGTAATCAAAATTTCATGTGTCTGAAAAGTCTTTTGAGCGTTGGCTCTGCCCTGACTAATGAGATCAATTTGCGTATAGTGAGAGCCTGAATTACTTATGGAATCTTTAGTGCTGTAATGATGTTAGCCTGGGTGCAAAAGATTGAATTCACGACTCTGAAAGCAGTTCTGCACTATGTTTGTCTCTGAGTTGACGATGTGTGGCGACTGTCTATGGTTGATCAACTTTAACTCTGAAGGATTACTGATATTCAACAGCAACATTATGTTAGTATGCTGAGGAATGACGTTGTGCGTTCGGGCTCAGTGGTCATAATTCGACTGGTTTCATTATCTTAAAACACACATTTCCTCGGTTTGTACATATTTCACAAATTTCATCCCAAAGACTTCAATATTAATTTCCGAGTCTAGGACGGGTTCGAAAAAGAGACGTGGTCAGTTTATGATATGGCTGTGGTATTAAGGAGAGCTGTATAGGGCTGATCTTTGCCAGTCCATCACAGATCATTGGCTGGGATCCTTGAAATGATCCAGCTCAGCGGCTTGAGACGTTATTAGATATGGCTCAAAACAGTAGATAATGGTGGTCTTACTGTATGGTTTTAAATTCTTAATTTTAAAAGTGACAGGAACTCACTTATCTGAAAGAATTCTCTTTGGCTGTATTTTATCTGAACTGTTTCTCCTATCTGTACTGCCCTCGTGAACTCATTTTTATTCACTTTTCTGCTTTTGACTATACTTTTTTCTCTATCTCTTCACAATTCCATTTAATTTGTGGGACATATTTATTTCGTACTAGTTTTTATATGTATTCAATAAATAAAAAATGATGGTTGGTTATGATGAGATTTGGATAGAAAGCTAATAAAATTACGATGGATAGATGATCTTAAAGTGATTAGTGAAATGTCACAGGTTAGACATTAGTTTACTCGCCTCAATACCAGTTATTTGTATTGGTGAAGCCAGCCTATATGGAGAACCTTAAGATACACCATAAACACTCTTGACTATACCCTATGTCATACGAACTATACTCAACAAGTAATTTACATCCCAGTTACGATCTGAATCAGAAGGTTCAAGTGTTTTGACGTGAGTCACTTCAGAACATTTGGAAATCTTGACAACAGCCATCGACGGTTCAAGTGTTTTTTGTAACTATAGTTTGACACCATCTCATAGTATACGGTTGCACAAAAGACTTATGATTATCTATTTTAAGTGCCTTAAGAACTGGATAAAAGTTAATTTTATTAGACTCATTATAAGATATCAGTTAACTGACATTACATTTGAAATTCTCACAAAAATCAAAGAGTAGCTATCTTAGACCTAATTAGTTCGTTGCTCACATTTATCAGTTGAGGTTATTATGGAACGAAATCTTATTTAAATGAACATTAAGATGAATACATTCCAATTTTAGTTTTAATATGTTGATCCATTTAATAGAAATTCAAGAACATAATTAAAAAGTCAATCCAGTGTTTTGATTTATCAACCAACCGATTACATTTCATCTCCGTTTCAACACTTTATCTTATCATGCTGAGCTATCCTCTCCCAATGATAATTTCCCTATCTATTTTTTGATGAATACTTAAGCCATTAACAATCAAACGATTATTAAACTTTTTTTTGATGGAGTTTCGTTCTCTGAGCTGGATGGTTTGGTCGTGGAGCTTTCATCGTTCTTCCGAACGACATCATCAGCAAACTTTGTGCTGATGATGTCGTTCGGAAGAACGATGAAAGCTCCACGACCAAACCATCCAGCTCAGAGAACGAAACTCCATCAAAATCATCCACCTGAGCTACAAATCTTCTCCACCATCTCATTATTAAACTTCCCTTGTTTTAAAATTTTTTTAATACTTTTGTTTATTTAACCTCACTGTCACCATGTCTAATAGAAGTTTATTATCAGTATTATTATCATCCTGTAAAAATAAGTATATATATTTGTGATTGTACAGCTTTGGAAATGAATTCGCCGAAAAGAGAACACTTCGCTGAACTAATCTTTCTTACTTAATGTCTTAATGGATGTATTCCGTTTATCAATAAGAAACTGTCTGAATCTTTTATTGTGTTTTATTTTTTAAAATAAATAAGTTAGCTTAACAAAAATAATGAAAAAATAAGTGGATAACGCGATGGCGTTTGAAGCGAACGGTACTGAGTTCGAGTCCCAGAGTGAACATCAACTCAGATGCAGGTACATCCAGCTGACGAGTCCCAAACAGGACGAAACGCGCGTCCTGGATTCCACTGCTAGCCACTATCCATCTTTGGTTATAATGCTTGTAAATTAAGGCAATATCGAGGCATACGCACAGTATGCACATATGCCAATAGGAGACTGATCAATTTCAGTCTTGAAACATCAGTGGGAAGATTCAGGTAAAACAATATCCAGTGAATTAAAAAATAAAATAGTTTGTTGAATTTGAATGTAATTGGTATTAAATGTACATTATTGTAACTAAAATTCTGTGTAGGTGAGAGATCGCATTGATTAGTTTAAATGTTAAAATTCCTATTTTCAATTTGTGATTTCAAAGAATTAGCATCAAGTCATCTGAAACTTGTTGATTAACCGATCAATCATTAATTTAGTATATTGGAAATAGTGTCGCTTAATGGACAATTTGATACTAACTAATGTACATTGATTTATTATGTTCAAAGTAGGAAAGGAACGGAATCCCCCGTTCATGCCAGTTTACAGGCATGATGAACTTGATATAGATAGTAATCTTAAATATAGAAGACAATTGAGATATTAGATTGTTTAAAGTGTTCTAGTTCAAAAGTTGTTTAGATAGTACATTTTTCACACATTATGCAACTCAAAAGACGTTGGGACTTGAAGTTCTATTTCGATATCTATTCTGTGAAGGATAAATTGCGGATGTACCTAAATCCTTAGTCCATTATCGTATGTAGCTTAGATAACACCTTACCATCTATAGTAAGATCTAAGTTAAATGAAGTATTAGCGAAGCATATCCATCAAAATTCTGTCGTGTTAAGTTCCTGTTGCCATTTTGAGCACTACTGTGCTACCTTGTTGAGGCACATACTGATAAGATTTCGCATATTGTTCAGCTTATGAGGAGAAAATGAATACACTACTTTAAAACCATCTGCATATAAAAGAGACCTACCCATACAGAAGCAATCTGAAATATAATTTATATAAACTAAAAAAAGCAAAGAACCTAAGACACTACCTTGCATTACACTACTTTTGACCGGGATATCGTCCGATGAGAAGGAATTAATTTGGACCATTTGGTGTCGGTGACCGAATCAAGAATTAAACCAAGCAAGTAGAGGGTTTTTGATCCCATAAGATGAGAGTCTGACCATAAGACGCTGGTGAATAACCATGTTGGAAGCCTTAGAAATATAAAAGTACAGCACTAAGACTAGGTGCCCTCGGTCACTTTCAGTAATGAATAAATCAAAGAAGTCAAAGTGGCAGGTCATATATTGACTAGTTTTTTGTATGGAACGGTTATAAGAAGGACAGATAGGGGAAGCATCAACTACTATTTTATGGTCACTGATTTCACATTCATTATATACTTGTATAGATAGTGGGATGGTATATCTACAGAATATTAGATCAAGTATACTATCATGCCTTGTTAGGGTACAAACCCATCAGGACCAGTATAACATGTTAATTGTTGTCAAGACTTCATGATTGCATGACTGACCACCACTGGTATTCTAGTTTATTTCACGGTAGTTGAAATCTCTTGTAATAACCTTCGTATTGAAATTTAGAGCAGACGCATCAGTAATAAGATCATTCACATTATCCGAATTGTCAGGGGCTCTGTATATACATTCCATGAGTAGGCTGTGATTCGGAGTGTTGACTGACATCCAGACCAATTCAAGCAAACTACTTAAGATACTGTCTTCAACTTTATTTATTAAAGGCATATATAAAACAGCCACTCCAACGTTTAGTTTCTCTATTACAGAGATAGAGATTGTAGTTCTGGATAATTAATTCTGAATCAGACACTGCAGTACAGCACCTTGTTTCAGTAACAAGTATGAAAAAAGGTTTCGTTAGCGAAGCTGAGGTTTTTAAGGTCAGAATCTTATCTAGAAGTGAACGTGCAATGAAAAGTAATGAGTTTAAAAGGGAAGTATAAAATGTAAATAAATTTAAAAAAACGAAAACGTCATTTCCGATGTTATTCACTTTAGAAGTGACTGGACTATAGTTTAGTACGGATGCCTAATCGTTTGCTAACCATGATTAAATTAAAATTATGTTTTCTGTTATGTCAGTTGAATATCCTAACTTATGTTATTATTATTATTATTATTATTATTATTATTATTATTAGCTTTATTCAACTTTATATTTTTGGTACAACATAGAATTCTCAGCATAAAGTATTTCAACAAGTTTCCTTTTCTTATACCTTGATCTATTGTGACGATATATTTTGAATGATGACCGGTTAGATGTTAGGAGTTCGGTAATCCACATTTGATTAATGTTCATTCGGTTCAATGCATATTGCCAGCCACCATGATGTCGCTGATTGTATCTTTTTGTATCACGTATAGCGAAAGGTTGTAAACTTTTCATAAACGCGCCTGAATAAATTGTACGCACAATAGAATAATGATGTGCTAAAACAAACAACAAAACAGATAACTTGATGAAATATCTAGATCGGAGGAACAGGTAGCCCAGATATTCAAGCAGGCCGCCAGTCAGTCAGTTTGATTCTGTAAATCGATATCAAGAAATGTTAAATCATAAAAACAACTCTATGAATAAAGGTGACAAGAATAAAATAAATAAATAATTCGGTGGTTAGTTACGTCTTTAATGTAACTTAATTAAATTATTTATATTGTCAATTTTATACGTACATCAAATTGTTGATTACTGAACATCAATTACTGCCAATTTAATGTACCCAAATCTAATTATTGACCGGATATTCAAAATGACACATATCTATTTGAACGAAGAATATTCTTGTCGATAAATTCTCTTCAGGTTCTACAATTATATAATCCAAATTAAAAATCCGAAAAGTGACTAGGTTAAGGGTAAAGTACACTGTTTAAAGAATGTGAATTTAGGATTGTTAAACAAAATACAATATCTATTTCATTATAGAATTTGAAGTTGTGTTGATCATTTGAAGATTTCTGTTTAATACAATATAAATTCTTTATGTTCAGTTTTACTTCTCTTCCTTGCATCAAATAATAACAATCTTTGTTCCGCTATCCTTTACCAAGTAAACTATTATATTCATAGTCTTGACAAATAGCATTTTTATGCGAAGCGCATAATTATATTTATTAAGTATGATATGGTTCATCACGATGATAATGTTGTTAGAGTTACAATCGGTATTTTTTTTATTTAATAGCTGCAATGACGTTAAATGCCTTGTTCAAACTTTTTTAATGAAATAAATGATTTAATGAGTTCACTATCATAATTACTAGACATCTATTTTAATAATTCGTCAACCTATTCTACAATATACATATGTTAGTAAACAGTGGCCCAGGAAATTTAAGGAAATATTTCAACCTAACATAGTAGTACTGTTTTATTATATTTTTTGAAAAGCAACCGTAGTCAATATGAAATTTTTGTCCACTGCCAAGATTCATTTATGGTAACTTCACTGGAGATTAGTAGATGGATAGGAATTTAAAAATCAGCCAGATAAACAACCATCCCATACTTTAATTGAATTATACTGTTTTATAATAGTTACATATCAGTATAACTTTGTTACACCTGGTTATGAATTAAACCACTGCAATATAATTAAATTCACTTTTTACATTGAAAGTGAATATTAGTTGCTCATCACTTTTATTTGTTTTTTTTAATTGTTGTATTTAGACACCAGTTCCTGTATTTGAACCACAATATTATCCAGTTCATAAAGGGAAAAAGGTGAGTTTCATAAATGTGTTTCACAGAAGGTGCCTGTCCTACTAATATATAACGTAATGATACCGCCAATTAAAGAACATTGATTTATCGACCGAACCAATGACGCATAAACCTATACGAGCAGTCTAGAGTCTCTATCGATCCGTGTTCCCGCCTAGCCCAGCCTGTTAACTCCAGAACGTTAATCTCAGCCTCTGCGATTTGAATCATGTATTTCAAGCATACTGGGTTTATATACAAACCAAACAGGCTACATCGTACCATAAAATAGAAAATAACATCTGTACAAGATTTAGCCAAAAGTGACTGTGAGTGTGAGAGACAGTAATTAATAGACTGGCATAACTCACGAATGCTAAATCGTATAATAATAGTGTATAGGTCAAAATAAAGCTTATGATAAGAGGAACACGAATATAAATAGTTTAGTTACTTAACAATTATACAATAAAAATGTATGTATATTTTTAGTCCAGAAATAAATTCCAACAGTTACCATTGATTATTCTTATCGAGATATAACAGTGCCATGAGGGAGATCAATGATTATAGATTTATTAAATGTGAGAATAGTTTTTGTCATAGATGAAAAACTAGTTGGACAACTGTTTAAAATTCGGAATTATTAGTTAGTTGTTTTGTTCTAGTGTCGAATTATTCATCAATGTTAATCCATGACTCACACAATGGATGGAATTTGTTACGCTTTGTTGTCTAAAAGTGAACATGATACTTATGGATTACTATAATGATAATTATTGTCAAATTTAATTAATTTCTATAAACCAGTCAGTTAAATGACGAAACGGTTATACTAATAGAAATTAAGCTAAAAATCCAACTATATCTTGTAGACAAACTATTTAATCAGTCTATTTCCAAGTGTTGTCATTTTTTATATGTACTAACGAATGATTTTTAGGCAACAACCAAGTTATTATCTTCAATGTAATTATGAAGTTAAGTTGTAGTAATCTTTTGAAAATCTGTAAAAATATGGAGCTTTAACCCTAACTATATAACTGACTCGAAAAATTGATTAATGAAACATTTTGCTGATGGTAAATTAAGTTATATGGAAGAGATATGACATTAAATCCTTGGACTAGAATACGAAGAAACTTTAAATTATGAAATCTAAAAAACAAAATACAGTTCGTGAAAATAAAATATACATAAGTCAGATAAATATGTGCAGTATTTACCCTCATTGGCTAAAGTCCGAACTAATGTCATAGTAAATCGTATACAATAACTATTAGTAAACTAAAATTTGCTCCAGTTACTGTAAACAGTTTGATACTAATGCAACTCATGTTGAATTTCGTGTGTAGTCGAAAAATCTTCGAAACGCTACTAATCGTTACAAAAAGTAACGAAATAAAATAGTAAACATCAATATACGGCTGTGTATGTTGTGGAGTTTTATTGACATCACGAACCGATCTAAATTAGATGAACAATGAAAAACTGGGATCACTGAATGGCTGTCTCGTCCAAGTGATGGTTTTCTTAGTAGTGCGCACTTACTGTGCTTCAACCGATAATAAAAACATGAATGCTTAATCTTTAGACTACTCAGCCAGTATATAGTGGTGTACAGGAGATTAAGCTCGTTAAACCGAAAATCCTGGGTTCCGTTGCCAGTTGGGGTTTCATGTGTCCGCAGTGGTGGGGAGTCCCACACTAGGACGAAACGGCTGTTTGGTGCTCTCAGGTTTTTAATGGTTATCCAACTTAGATGTCGATAATAATCGGAAATCAACCCGAACAAGACAATCAGATGTTAGTAAACTAAGAAACGAAAATATAAAAAATTAGAAGATCAATGATACTGATTAAACAAGCTAGTAAAATGACTTCCATGGATTAAAAGGTTCACACCTGTAATATGTAAATTCATATCATGCAGAAATGGAGTGAGAAATTATTTTAATATTGAACTATTAAAACAGGAAACAACTAAAGGTTATGAATATCGGTTTATGACTTCTTAGAACTCATTAACTAGATGCCCTTGGAACATATATATATAAATTCACAAATTGAATATTGAATATGACGTAATCGAAAGTATTCCATACTTAAAGTTCAAATTTCAAAACCAGATCTTACTTTCCTTCGAATTAAACGTTTAGATATTTTTCTTCCTAAGTTTATTACATGAATATGAAATCTGTGAATGGGTCAAGATAGAACAACTTTCATGTATAACTAATCATATAATCTACAAATTAAACCATTTTTTTTACAAATTACAATGTTGGATAATTGGGAAAATTTGACAAATTTTATAAATAATATAAAATACCAACAAGGTATTGTTTGTATTAACCAGTACATTTTATAAATCCCTCTTACTATTCAAAATATCAAATATAGTCATTTAACTTAATAACCAAGTTGAAATAAAAATCAAAACTTATATCACTGATGTTACAATTCATATACTGGTTAGTGTAAAAACTATAATTTTACCTAATATATAAACATAACTAATAATTTTGACAAGAATAACACTTTATTATCTGTTATATAATGTTGTATAGAATAGATGAACCAAACTTGAAATGTTGTGACAAGTTTAAATACTTCGCAGGATAAATAGATCTAATTTAAACATTCATAATGTTGTCATTTATCATAGTCTATTTCTTAAAATGACCAAATGACTGTGTCACATAGACTTGTGTAAATTCAGGATTTTTAATGATAATTGTTAGTGAATTGATTTAAAGTAATCAAAATGTACCTGTTATGTTTTCTAATTATGTGCATGTATGTCAGCATTTCTATAATCAAGTTTTTTTGCATATGTTTTTGGATAGTTATTTGAACTATCGGTTGGTTTATCACACTTAAATCAGTTCGTTTATCTGTCAGAGCCATTGTGTTAATTGACTTCCTCAGTTGAGTTTTATTTTCATAGCTTTTATCTCTTACTAAGCAGAAATTTCTCAAATGTGCCATGTGTCAACTATAAATTATCAAATGAATGTTAAGTTTATACTCTGGAAATATTTTCGATTTCTTAGTGCACTATTAAAAGTATATCTCCCAAGAACAAACTTGTCATTCTATTGTAGGAATATTATATGCTACTTGTCAGTAGTTAAAATACATTAGTAGAAGTTTCGGACAGTGACGATGGTAATTAGATTGATTTGTTTGTCTATTTGTTGACCATCTGACAGATCGGAATCACTTCTTTGAATAAATATTCTACTTTGGTTATTAGTTCGTTTAGTTGTCAAACAATCTGGATTTCACATTTAACATATTGGTGTGTACTTAAAAATCATTAAACACTAAACCGAATTTCATTAATAACTGTCCTAATATGATACATAATATGCGAATTATATTCTAATCAGAACATACGACAAGTAATTTAGATACATGATTAGAGAAGATTTATTCAATATGAAGCTAGTTTTAGCCATAGACTGATATCAACTGAACAACCAACGAAAATCAGAGTTTAGTGAAAAAAATTATCAATTCATACACAAAATCGCACCTAGGATCACAGAATTTATCTTCAGAATACATAACGGAAACTATTACTTAACATTTTTAACTTCAAGAAATTTTTGATATTTCGTGACTAACATCCAGTACCATGATGAATATATGTTGAACTTTTGATTTGACTGAGTTCACACGTAACAGCTTCTCGTCAGAACTTCCAGAATGTTCGTTTTGATTACAGCCATAAAATTATCAGTGATATATTTCACTTGTCAGTATTTAATAATAAAACTTAGTCACAGTATGTAACAGAAACTGTATTTTTAAATTGCTACACAATTTGCATAATGATATGATATATTCGACATTCATTATTATCTTACGAATAGTACTAATTCCTAATATCATCAACATTCGATTTGTGATCCCTGATATCCTATTTTCATCTGTCCGAACGAAGTTATCATGTTAACTTTGGAATCGACTACATATCAGTTTTGAATAACAATATGAAATTGACTGAACATTCATTCAATCGCAAAACTACAGACTAGTTACAAGTTCCTTTCTTTAGTTCTTTTCTTCTTTTGTGGAAGGTTTCGGTATTAAAAAGTCAGCCTGTTGAATGTTATTTAGTTGTTTAAATTAAATGCTTATTTTTCAAAGGCTGACGTCATATTGACCTTTACTTATCTACAACTATAATGTAATCAAACTAATCAACTAATTATTATCACTAGATTTGGTAATTTTCCAGGACTTCCAGATCATTAGCTAAGTATAAACAGTCCTGTGGTTTTTAAGGTTGTATAGTGAACAGCACTGAAGCTCAAGACGAGCTTTTTCGTCATGGATGAGACTTGTCAGTTGGATGCACCTGCATCCCAGAGTTGATGTTCATACTGAGACTTGAACAGAGAACCTTTGATTTAAAAGATTCGTAGGGTAAATTTCACCTCATTAAAAGCAGAAACACTGGCGAAAAATTTGGCAATTCAAAAATAGTGTCTTTATCATAAGACCGGACCATCATCTAATTAACTGCATATTAAATAGGGTGTAGATAATATAATCTAATAATCATTCTTTTCAATAATCTTTATGATAACTTACAGCTTTATTTAATTGCACAAAACAAACCATTACGTGGTGATTTGAAATACAATGATCGAATAACTGGTGCACATGCTGGTTCAATTTTTGCATGTCAACGTGCAGCAAATCTTAAAGGTCTCGGAAGAGCATTCTATCCACTACTCAGTACAGATATGTTCAATATGGATTATGTTGTACCGCCAACATATAGATATGGTGTTCCTTTGGTTAATTTATATGTGAGTTAATTAAGACTGATTTTTTAATCTCATCGGTTATGTAGTGACTTTCATTTGATAACTATTTAATTGAAATAACTGAATACTAGTTGTATCCATCATCAGTGTTTGTTAGTCAGATCAAAGGGACACAAATAATTTTATGCCTATTTGTTCATTTTCACTATATCCTGATATATTTATTAAGTAGCACCAACCTATTGGTTAGAAGAACAAGGTGTAGGTCACAAAGCATAAAGAGTATAGACTAAGAAGTTTACGGAATAAAATATTTTTCAGTTGCTGTCATTTTGAGATATAAATTGTTTCTAACTTTCCAAGATTATTTGTATACATTATTAAAGACTGGATGACTGTGTTTATCCAAATAAAGTACATAATACATTTTAAGATATTACTCACAAGCATATAAAATATATTTTAGCTCAGGAACACCTGAAAAATATACCTATATCTCCATGGTCAATCGTCAAAAAGTATATCCTTTTTCAGATTATGTGATCTGGTTGGTTACATTTGGCAAATTAATATTAAATGTAAGGTATCTCATACCTATTGAAAGCACTGATAAACTCCATCTCTAATATCCAAAATCATCGTTAATATGATTATAATTGATTCATTAACATATTAGTTAATCATTAATCATTTGACTACTTCCATTCTCATCCTTGATTGACCATCACTTATTTAATTAATTAATCCTAATTATGTGATCTTGTAATCACATTTCTTTTTGTATTGAACCTGATGCTTAAATTTATTGACTAATAAATTAATGGCCATTTGTTCTTTCTGATGATGATGATCCAGATAGAGATTTGTAATACAATTGTTATTTAATCATCTTATTTTAATATAGATAAATTAATGAATTATTCTTAACAATTCCATAGTGTAGGGATTGTGGAGATTATTAAGTTTTTGATTGAGATCATGAACCGACTGATGTTAGACCATCACAATTGAAAACCTGGAAGCACTGGACGGCTGTTTCGTCCTATTGTGGGGCTCCTCAGCAGTGCACATCCACGATCCTGCGAGCGAGGTTCGAACCCAGGGCCTTCGGTCTCGGGCGTGAACGCTTAACCAACTGGACCACTGAGCCAGCACCCAATGGTGATAGTTTCTAACATCAACCAATCCAGGAAATTGCGCGACCAACTTCCGTTGTACTGAGGTAGATACCTGTTTCTACCCGACAAGGATTAGCTCCACTGGTCACGGCTTCTCACTAGAACTCCGAGAATTCCCTCACGAAGCTAGTCACTAGTGAGCACATGTTCATTACTAGTATAGGGGTTGTGGAGATTATTAAGTTTTTGATTGTGATCATGAACCGATTGATGTTAGACCAGCACAATTGAAAACCTGGTTGATGTTAGAAACTATCACCATTGGATGCTGGCTCAGTGGTCCAGTTGGTTAAGCGTTCACGCCCGAGACCGAAGGCCCTGGGTTCGAATCCCGCTCGCGGGGTCGTGGATGTGCACTGCTGAGGAGTCCCACAATAGGACGAAACAGCCGTCCAGTGCTCCCATGTTTTCAATTGTGATGGTCTAACATCAATCGGTTCATGATCTCAATCTAAAAATTCCATAGTGGTCTAGCTTCAAATGACTCATGATCTCAACTATTAAAATTACTATACTATCCATCAAACCCCTTTCTGATATGAAATAATTGTGTTTACTATTGTGACAAATAACATGTTATTTCTTGACTTCATTTTATGTTTTTGTCTATTTAATAGGGTGAAATTCTCTTTGATGATTTTATGAGTCTTGTTGAAGGACGTTCAAAGCCACAAGCGAAATTATTGGATTTTGATGGTGTTGATATAACAGATGATATTGTGTAAGACTTTGATGAAAAAAATTTTATTCTTTATTATTCAAACTATATGTTATTTGCCTTTATGAAAAGTAACATTTATATTAATCATATTACTAAAAGGAATTTGGTTGATTGATTTGTTAATCAGTGGAACGGTTTTATAAATAACGTTTGGATATATATTGACGATTATTATTATTATTATTATTATGAACTGAGAAAAAAATGAATATCAGAAAACAGTAGATAACTGTTTTACCATAGGTTAGAATTATTATGAAATGGGCATACATGACAATACACGGGATCGTATACATGGTTTTTCGATTTTATGACTAAACCAGTATCCATTAATTCACATTTTCAATTTCAATCTATTTCCAACATACTCCATTCTTGTTTAACTTTGTCATTGACGTACTTTTAGAGATAACACTTTCCTCATCTAAATTTCCAGGGGTTGAACTTCTACCGGGAGGTTCACTTGTTGACTTAGAATATGCTGATGACATAGTTTTATTTGGTGAAGACGCTGACAAAATGCAGAGTCTTCTGACCACTCTAAGCAACAATGCAAGCATGTTCGGCATCCGATTCTCTCCCTCGAAATGCAAAATGTTGCTTCAGGATTGGGTTGCATCGACACCCGAACTAATGATAAGGAGTGAAGTAACTGAACGTGTCGATCGCTTCACTTATCTTGGAAGTCTCATCAGCCCTTGTGGTCTGGTGTGTGACGAAATCTCAGCACGGATACAGAAGGCTCGACTAGCTTTTGCCAACTTGCGTCATTTATGGCGTAGGCGAGATATCCGTCTATCAACCAAAGGACGTGTTTACTGAGCAGCATTTCGTTCCGTCCCACTTTATGGCAGTGAAACATGGCCGGTAAGAGTAGAGTATATCCGTAGGTTACTAGTATTTGATCATAGGTGTCTTCGAAATATTGCTCGTATATCATGGGACCATCGAGTAAGTAACGCAGTTGTTAGAAACCGGGTACTACGTAAGGACGGTAAATCAATTGATGAAGTAGTGAAACTTCATCAGTTGAGATGGCTGGGACACGTGTTACGTATGCCCAACGACCAACTGCCTCGACGTGCGATGTTCAGTGGTATAGGAGTAGATTGGAAGAAAGCTAGGGGCGGCCAGACCAAAACATGGCACAAGTCCATGAAGTCACTGACAAATGGACTGAGTCATGTTGGTAGGTGTAGACTACCTGGTTGGGGACCGCGAGATGATACCTACCGATGGTTAGAGACCCTGAATGACATGGCTCAAAATCGTTTGCAATGGCGCAGGTGCATCCACTCTTTGTGTTCTCCCAAATTCGAATCTTCTGAATTCTTCATGTCCCTTTCTTTTCTCTCTTTCCAAATTTATTTCACTGTATTATACTCCTTGAATAACATCTTCAAACCCTAATTTTTCTGATTGCAGCTTATAATTTTACTACATCTAGCACTACGGGGTTTGAATCGACCACTGCATCTCTGTGCAAACGGGGTGTGGCAACTCGAACTGATGTACGTACGTACGAAGTTCTACGTTATTACTGACTTTATTCAATTTCACTTGTAGATGATTACACCACAATCAACCCGATTGATTCTACACATTACATCTCCTCGCTAGCCCCCAAATGCCCTGGTACGGCTGAGAGTGGGTAGAGTCCGCTCTTGCTCTTGAAACGCGTATATAGCCTCTGCCGGGGAGGTCCTACTCACTGCCTTCTCGTGGCGGGGGTGTTGTTTACAAAATTGAGAGGATGAAAGGCGAATGTCCGGCTCTTCAACAGGGTCTGTGGATATGGAGAGTCCATCTAGGGGAGCTGGAAAAACCCTGATTCCAAACCAATGGTGCACATGGTCTCAGTACCCCGAGGGAACAAGTGACGTATGAACGAATCGTTGGTCACCGGCTACCATAGAACTGCATCTCCTTATGATGCTCCACTACCTTGTGAACCAGACCTTTAGGTCGAAGACTCTGGGTGCGGCCATCTAAGAAAGCCACCTGCTTCGGTTTGGGCACCGAGGCAGTATCACAGCCCTCACACAAATCAAATGGAATTTGTGTGGCGCATATGTATCTGGTGACCCCTTGTACCAGTATTTATATGTTCAAATAAAATAAAATAAAATAAATAAATCTCACTAAGGACATCACAATAGAATCACCATTAAACATACACTTGTCATTCAGTTGGATGATTCATAAAGATTACAATTGTATTCATTGGATTGTAGGTCATTCTGACAACATCATATTTTATACGGTTGTTCATTAGTCACATACGATGACTAAAAGAAGATAGGAGTGTAACATGAATCTACCAACACTGATTTACGCAAACTATTTATCATCACTTTATTATTTAAATTACTTGATATCTTCAGATACTAATTAAACTTATATCATGTTTTTTTGGCATAATTGACTAAGTAATTCAACACTTAATTCCACTGTATTATTTCATGCTTTCACTCATACTTTTCAACTGCAGTTAATTTTTTACGTGGAGTATAATTCAATATAGACTTCATAAATTCTGATATTTTAACAAAACGATGACAGTAATGAATGTAGACATTATGAGAGAAAATTAATAATAACATTAGAGAACTAACCAAATTTGACTTATCTATCTATTTAAACAATTAATGCATTATGAACATGACTAATCGATACGAAATGAATAAAAAGTAGAACGTTTTAATGGAAAAAAATGAACAGGAATTGTTGTCAAGTCATTTCAATGTTTTCTTAATAGAATTAGTCAATAATAAATTAATGCATGAATAGTGATATTTTTTGAAGGGTTTCATCTAAGCAACTAACGGAATTCTTTTTAATGTACATATTTATTTATTTATTTATTTATTGTAAAATATACATTAACTTCACAGTGCAATGACAAAAAGGGGGGATTATTATGAAGAATGCGATTGAATGTATTCAGTTAGTCAGTTTGTTGTGATTATATTTCATTTTGAAACTTAAATCATTTATGATATTGATACTATTGGAAAAAAAATAAAAGTTTACATTAAGGTATAAATCGAGAGAGTGAGAAAGAGAGATTAGATGACTAATCTAATAGATGTAAAAAATAATGATCTGTCAGTTTATGCTTTCATTTTGTTAGTGAACATGGATTCTAATGTTTTGTTATTACTGGCCGAATTATACGTTTGGAATACATTCAGTATTACGTGTTTGGAGGAAGTCATTAGAAAATCCTGGTTATGTGTTTCGTAGCTATTCGTTGGTAATCGTTGCCAAGAGGTATCCACATTCTTGAAGAAATGGTTTTTGCAGTAGGATTACAATCTTAAACGTTACCATTGAGCTACTGGTTTCATGACTGACCACCTGTAGGACTAAGGTGTTTACACTAGTTGAGTAGTGGTTATTGTCATGTTTGCTTAATTGTTAGTCCGCATCATCATTCGATATTATTTAATCAGTTCTAAAAACAGGATAATAGTAAAATATGTTTGCGTCATACATTATGTACATAATCAAAATTAGGTTAATTGGTAAGTGGTCACAGCAAATTCAAAAAGAATACTATGAAATTGAAAAGTAACGACAATAACATATGTTAAACTAAACTTCTATGAAACAAAATAGTTGTTTTTCAGTCCAAATATTTATATATTCCCACCACCACTGATCAGTAACTACCTAATTAAAATCGATATTTAATTCCTATTCTGTACAAATGTAATGCATACCTCCTGAAGACATTGGTCAAAAATGATTTCAGTACTTAAAAGACACTGAAAGTGTATCAAAGAACAGGTGAAGTTTTCGTGTAAATTGTGTTATTTAGCCAGTATATGCTGATAATACTACATGGTTACTACCTTGATATTCAATTTACTATCACCTTAAAGGATAATAAAACTAGTAACTTATTCAGGTTATTAATGTATCCGAATAATGTCCGATGAAATGTCACCAGAGTCACAATATTCTACAATTATTTAAAGGCTACGATAGATTTATTTATATTCCATTAACTATTTTCAACCACAGAAATACAGGATAACTATTTTATTTCGGTCTTAAATTCTTTGCTTATAAAAATTTAATATCTGTGCGTTAAATTGATATCACTTTCATACAGAAACCTAAAAGTCATAAATATAAACGTTTTATTCGTACTCCTAGGAGTTTTTTTAAAAATATTTTTCCAGGTTACATTTATATTAAACCATATCAACAAAGATCATTCAATTAAATTGATAGATTTATATACACATGAGACATATTTTCACTTTTTTTTTAAAAATAGTGCACCATGTTTATGGATTGGTCAAAAACCAATTTATTTAAATGGTGATTATGAATATGCAGCTCAGTCAAAATGTCGTAATTGGCAGTCAACTTATCCAGGTGAAAATGGTTTAGCTGTGTCTTTACCAATTGTTGACAATGCACCAGGTTTATTTTCTAAACAAAATTTTAAATTAATATCATGTTCGAAATTTTGTCGAATGTTATGCATACAAATCACACCATCCAATACGTAATCAATTATAATTATTATGATAATCAATATTCGATTTATGTATCCGTATACACTTATTCCTGTTCTACATCCAGACATTTTTTTTATCGATTAATATACATATATACTGCTACTAAGTGAATTAAACGTTTGTCAATTTAATGAGATTTTCAAAATATTCAACAGCTGAAAACAAGTACATAGTTGTTTGTTATTCTCCAGAATTTGTTCACTATTCAATACGAAACGATACTACTCTTTTTTCAGTACATACTAATATAACTTACTGATTCCTTCATCGTAATTGAACATTTTCGAGTTTGTCGATTTTAATTTCAATGTTGAAGCTCAACAGTCAAGCATTTATATCCTCTCATTTATTGAAAAAAAAAGAATAAGAAACCGATTGTTTTTTGTCAAAATTTATTTGTCTATCTATTTATCTATCGTTTTTGACACTTAAATCCAACGTTTACATATACCAACTACAAAAAAGAACAGTTTTGAATTTCATTTGAGTTTTTCACCGACGCACCAATACATACACACATACACAGAGATACACATGAAGCACGATTTATGATTTTAATGATTTCAATCTTTCTATCATTATTATTATTATTATTATTATTATTACTCCATATGTTTGTCTTTTGTTCAAAATTTTGTGGTATAATCTTTTCCTCATCTGCATGAATCACTATTTCTATGCATCCAATTGGAACAACTGAGGAATTAATAATTAACTTTTGTGCAATTAATTTTGTGTGAAAGTGAAGCAGAATTATCTGGTCAATTTACATTGGTTTTGTTACTTACTTATATTAATTGTGTGCAAATTTTATGTTGGAACAGTTAAATATGTAATGCACTAGAATAATGGAAATATAGACATATATTTTATACGTGATATAAATTTGTAATTTATTTTACGCTAAAAAAAATACTACTAAATTCATTATGCCATAGGCATTATATGATTTGGGTTTACATGGGATTATGTATAAATTATTATGAATTATACCTACTAATTATTAAATAAGTAGCAAACAAAACCAATGGCATTGATTACTAAATCTTAGCAGTCTAATCAACATATTATTAGCTTAAAACAAACGATATTAAATGTTTTTATGAGACTAATTTCTACTCCAAATTGGAGATGAAACTTAAAGTAGTTTGGCACGGTGATTCTGACGTGTAATATATACCAACAGTTGATCTTATATTAATTGATATCGCATTATGTAATCCTCAATGTTGAATAAATTCAGTTGGCCAGATTCTAAAGTGATCATCAGTTTAAATGAAAGCGTCTTTAACTGTGGTTCCTAATGATAAATTTAAGAATCCTATCTTCATTTAGTTATGAGCTAAAATAATAGAAGTATGTTGTTGAAGTTCAGATGTATTGGTTATTAGGTTGGCTGTCAAGATATTCAACTTCGAGGTGGCTTTTGTCACATACTTGTATTAGTTGAAGATTCGTTGAAAACTTGATGGCAACTGAACAAATTTTTCTTCATAGTATGAAACCCTTCAGATGTACATACTCAAAACCTTCACGGGTGTGAATCCAGAACTTTCAGTTCTCATGTTGAGAATCGAAGTGAAATCCAATAGTCTAGATTTTAAGGTTCACTCAGTGAGTATTTTATTCCAAGTATCACTCAATATTTTCATTAGTAATATTTATCTCACTTCCAGTATCATTTAACTTCAACTATCGTAACTTTTTACTATAACTTTGAGAATTTATCTCTACAATAATCACTAACGATCACACTACATGTATGTTAATATAGTTTCTGCTCAGCTTTATCTATTAAAGCTTTCGTTAGTTAGTTATACAGTTACGATAGACATTTTTAAAAATCTATGCCAGTATCACAGATAATTATATTTCTTGTCTTTTTAATGAATTCACACAATAAATTCCTTTATTGCCATTCGAAATTATCTGGTTGCGGGCCAGTAAAGTGACTAACTAACCATTAAAGTCATGAGCACTTAGACTGCCTGGTTACAGGATTCATCTATTCAAAATTTGACAATAAATTTATGTCGTCATCTTTCAACCAAAAGGCGTAGTTCAGAAATGTCAAGTATACTAGTCTATACGTGTGCCAGTTAATTAAATGATGTATTGGCAATCTAGCAATTACACTCCCTAATCTAACTTCAACGCATCGGAATTAGTGATAAGACATGGTTTAGTAACTGATATAACGAATAGTTCGATATAATACACACAGGTATTGAAGAATGACTGAAGCCTTATCGATGATGAAATTTGACAGTATAATTGGTAGGACATTAATTGAAGGGAGTTTATTCGAATTCTATCTTGATTTCGGATTTCACCCCATGTTTTAATACATGGTTATATATATGTGGTCATCTAATGGCGATGCTTATTAAGAGAACTTAGTGAAACTCGTTTACCATGAATATCTATATACTTGCCAACCATGATCTGTCCATAGTTTTAAGTATAAAGGAGTACAATATTTGGGAATACTGTTAACAGTAGAATTTATGACACACATTTCTTTGACGGAGTTTTGTTCAGACTCAGAGAACAAAACCCCATCAAAATCATCAACCTGAGCTACAAATCTTCTCCCAGCATTTCTTTCCAACTAGAACTCGTCAGATGGATGTTACGGTATCCTAGTATTAATGTTTACAGTGGGACTCCAACATAGTGCTTTCCAACTAAACTAAAACTTTTAAATGAAGTCTATATCAAGGTAATCAGTTCAGGAACTGTACATGGTAGCAGAGAGTGGTCAATTCCATTCCTGCATAATATTAATAACAACAATAAGAAATTACAAACACTAATATTGAAATAAAGTCTCGAATTATGTCTTAAGTTAACATATATATCCAATTTTACACTGACAGACTAATTATTAATTAAGCATTTGACTGAGTGAAGTAGTTATAATCCAAAATGATCCAAATAGATCTTTTTTCATGTACACAGAAAGAAAAAAACAGGTAAATCTAATTAACACGTTTTTGAGAATTTAAATGTATGTACAAAAGATATACACAACAAAGCTATTACATTCATAGTTCAGTATCTCTGTCAATGTATTTTAGGGATTAAGTCAAAATGATCATATTCTATGTATCCACAAGATAAGAGCAACTATCAATGATAATAATAATAATAATAATAATAATAATAATAATAATAGTGTTCGCTTCAGAATAAATTATATTTTGAAGAAGAAACATTAAGGAATGTTGTAATCTAATATGATTGTGTTCATAAGTATACTTGATTGGTATTTTTCAAAAAGGGAATGTTTCACAAATAACTAGAACACTTTCAAATAGATGGGTGTGTTTTATTTTTCTAATTATTTTCTTCACAACTATACACATGTAATCTCTATTTCTTTTTTCTTTTTTTTGGTTGGGAAAGAAAACAACTCAACATTAGATCTCTTCAAAAATTTCATTTGTCCATGTGTTCTTTTTATGTAATGATCTTTTGAATGTTTTCATATTCATAAAATTATTAAAATGTTGATTATTATGCATAGATGATGATGTCATAGACGATGATGTCATTGACGATGATGTGGTTGAAGTTGATGAGGATACAGATTCTGTAAATTGATTATTAATTAATTCATTTAAATTACGTGTAAATCGATAAACATAACGTTTTCCAGAAACTTTTTCAATAATTTTTTTATCATAATAATATCGTAAACCACGACTTAATTTTTCATAATTCATTTTTGGTTTATTTTTTCTAGCACCCCATCGTTGTGCTACTTGATTTGGTTCTTTTAATTTGAATTCATTTTCATAACCAGTCCATGAAATAAATGCATTTGCTTCAGGATCTTGTAATTCTTCTAATAAAAATTGCCATAATTGTATATGTCCATGATGATTGGTTGTTGGTGTTATTGGACAATAGAATGATTTATTGTATGGTTTGTCCATAGATTTAATGTCATTGAAAATTAATTGAGACTTTTGATGATAATGATTAGACTGATGAGTACATTGACTAACTTTATTATGAATGAGAATAATATCACTATCACAATGATTTGTACTGACAATGTCAACAGAAGAACGGGAAGATTTGGTCAGGTTATTCGTAGGTAATTCTGGACATACTTGTATTGTATCATTAATAGAAGAATTTGTTGGTAACTTGTCTAAGTTATATTCACCTACAAAAAATGTTCAGACAAAATAGTTACTTATATGAACGATTTGTCAAAACTTGATTGAATAGTCTGGTAAAGATTGGACCCTGAATATCAGGCAAACATCACATGAAAATTTTAACTAAAGTAGTCTCAGCGATTGAAATTTAAGAATCCCAACGCTTCGCCCGGGAAAGTTTTGATCATTCCCTTGAGGAAACACTGATGGGTCTGCCCAATGAAACGGACTATCTAAATTTCAGTCATTGAGATTATTTCAAGTAACTTTTACACATGAAGGTTGTTCATGAAAATGTATCAATTACTGTTTAGCTACTAATGAGTAGGCAAATTATTATGGTGAATTGTTTTGGCGTTTATGGCTAGTGTAAGTTTATTATGAATCGAAGCAATCACCGATTTAACTTTCATCAAATTGCCTGTTTCGTTCTAAAGAGGTTTTTAGTAAAGCTGGCTTTGTTATCAAACAGTTGCACTCTGATAAAAATAACAACGAGGTTTTATTCATCGTCTACACATAACGGATTGTGTTGTTCTATTCAATTATTAGTATCTTATATCGTTACAATTATTTCCTTGTAGTAGCTGACTAGTATGTACTGGATATATACAAACTTCAAATAACACGACCGGTGATCTGTAAATCTTATACCTTTATGTCAAAATAATATTTTCATTAGTGGGGTATTAATTAAGGTTATATAAGTGCTCATTAAAATATTTTACCCATTTACTGATAAACGATGTGAACAAACAGATTTAAAAATCCCTATCTTATTTGAATGAATGGACAGATGAATCTATAAATTATACTTAA